TATTTTTTCCTAAGGTCAGCAACAAGCATGCCCACACTATTTTCATTCAACATTGTACTGAAGATTCTAGCCAGTGTAAAAAGGCAGGGAAAATAAATGGGAAGCATCCACATTGGAAAGGAAGAAGTAAACTGTCTTTATTTACAGATGACATGATCATCTATGCAGAAAGTTCTATGGAACCTACAAAAAAGTGACTGCAACTAACTAGTGAGTTCTGTAAGTTTGCAGGATGTAAGAAGAGTGTGGAAAAATCAATTGTCTTTTTTATATGCTAGCAACCAACAAGCAGAAATTTAGGTGGAAAATACCAAAGTAATATCCAAAAATATGAAACAGAGATGAAAGTGGGTGAGATCCACACACTGAAAACTACCCAACATTGCTAAGAGAAATTTAGGAAGACCTACATAAAAGGAGAGTTGTACTGTGCCCTATTTATGTATTGCAAGATTTGATGTTGTTAAATATCAGTTTGCCCAAATAATTTTAGACATTCAGTGAAAACCCTGTCAAACTCCCTGTTGATCTTTTTGTAGAAATTGACATGCTGATTCTAAAATTCACATGGAAATATAAAAGACCTGGAATATCCAACACTACTTTGAAAATAACACAGATAAAGAATTTATAGTATTTGATTTCAAGATTTTTAAAAAAATGAATCAACATTAATGAAAACAATGTGGAATTAGCATCCAGATAAATAGATTATTATAACAGTATAGTGATTCCAGAAACAGACCAGAAATATACAGTCAATATTTTTTACAAAGATACAAATATAATTCAGTGGAACAGCCATAGTATTTCAACACACATAAATGGTGCTAGAACAATTGGATATTCATATCTAAACATATTCATATGTAAAACAAATTGATCCATATGTCACACTGGATGAAAAGTTAACTCAAAATGGATCATAGACTTAAATGTAAAACTAAAATGTAAATGTAAAAAACAATTTAAAACCTAAAACTATATAATTTGTAGAAGAAAACACTTCTGATTTCAGATTGGGCAGATTTTTTTAGCTACAAAACCAAAAGCATGTTTTATAAAAGAAAAATGGATAAATCTTAAAAGATTAATAATTTCTGTTCTTCAAAAAACAAGCCACAGGGGGCTGAGGTTGTAGCTCAGTGGTAGAGTGCTTGTCTCGCATGTGGAAGGCACTGTGTTCAATCCTCAGCACCACATAAAAAATTTTTAAAAAAATTTTAAAAAGAACAAGCCACAGACTAGCAGAAAATATTCTCCAATTGCATATCTAGTAAAGGCTTATGTTCAGAATATTTTAAGGAAAAAATTCCTGGGCTGAAGGTGTAGTTCAGTGGTTGAATACTTGCTTAGCATGTGCAAGATTCTGGGTTCCATCCCCAGCACCTCAGGGTGTGTGTGTGCGGGGCTATCAAAACTCAATCATAAAGAGTACAAAGTTCAGTTAGACCGGAGGAATACACTCTGGAGATCTATTTTATAGCATGGTGACTATAGTTAATAATAATGTATAAAATAAAATGTCAGCATTTGATTTGATGATGTATTTTCTCTTTTCTGAGCCATTGTAGGTATTCCTAATTTTTTAGTTTCATAGATAGGTGAAAAAATAAATAAATGTCAAAATGTTCATATTAAAAACCACATTAGAGCCTATTAAAAAACATATGGTGGCCTATGCCTCTAATCCCAGCGCCTCTGTAGACTGAGGCAGGAGGATCTAAATAAAATACAAAATAGGGCTAGGGATGTGGCTTGGTGGTTGAGTGCCCTTGAGTTTAATCCCTGGTACCCCAAACAAAACAAAACAAAACAAACAAACAAACACATTAGCTGGACATGGTGGTGTATTCCTGTAGTCCCAGGTATAAGGACATTGAGGCAGGAGAGAATCACTTGGGTTCAGGAGTTTGATGCCAGCCCGGGCAACATAGCAAGAGCCAAACACACACACTCCTGTAGCTCCTTGGTACTGGAGATTCAATCTAGGAGCACTCTACCACTGAGTTAATTCCCAGCTCTTTTTCTAAATTGTCCTGCCTAGTTTTCCCAAGTTGTTGAGATTACAAGAGTTCTTCACCATGTTTGCCTGACATGAGCCAATCTCTTAAACAAAAACAAAAACAAAAACCAGACATTGTATTTTGAAAATTTCTAAGAAAGTGGATTTTAAATGTTCTTTAACCATAGAAAAATAAGTATGTAAAGTGATGGATGTGTTAACCTGTTTGATTTAAATAAGTCCACAATACATCCCTATGTCAAAACATCATTGTCCTCCATGAATGTATATCATTTTTGTCAATTTAAAAAACCTAGATAATAACAAAATAACCACATTAAAAAAGATTTGATTTGGGCAAAAATGGGAATAGACACACCACCAAAGAAGTTAAGGTATGTCACAAGAATGCTTAAAATTAGCGCTGGGGATGTGGCTCAAGCGGTAGCGTGCTCACCTGGCATGCGTGTGGCCTGGGTTCGATCCTCAGCACCACATACAAACAAAAATGTTGTGTCCGCCGAAAAAAACTAAAAAATAAATATTAATAATAATAATAAAGCTTGTTTTCTAAAAAAAAAAAGAATGCTTAAAATTATTAGCCAGTAGGATAATGCAAATTGAAACCGCAATGAGATAGCACAGCTATTAGAATGGCTTATATTAAAGTCTCATACACAAAATATTGGTGAGGATGTGACACAACTGGAATTCCCATATGCTACTAGTGGGAATATAGAAGGATATAATCTCTTTGAAAACAATTTGGCACTTCCTTTAAAAGTTCCACATATACCTATCATATGACCTAGACATTCAACTCCTTGGTATTTACCTAAGAGGATTGAAAGAATATGTTCATACCAACACTTTTACACCAATGTTCACTGCAACTTTCATTGTAAGAGCAAAAATGGAAATAGCCCAAATGTCTGTTAATAGGTGAATAGATTAAAATATCGTACAATATCTACATAATTGATTTTTACTCAGCCATCAATTTTGAACAAATTCCTTAACAGAGTGAAGGAAGCAAAATCCTTCTCCCTGTAAAGAAAAAAAAATTACTGTGTGATTTCATTTGTATGAACTTCTAGAAATTCAAACTAATGTATAATGACTGAAAACAAATTAGAGGTTGCTTGGGCTTGGGGGAGGGGAGGGTTACAAAGGGTCATGTGTGAACTCTGGGGTGGGGGGGTGAAAATCATCTTGAATGTGGTGATGGTTTTATATACACATGCTTATCAAATTGTATATTTAATGTGTATAATTTATCATGTTAATTATACTAACAAAATTATGTTTTTTTACCAGGAGAGAGAGAGGGCTAGAGTTATGGCTCAGTGGTAGATACTTGCCTAACACATGTGAGGCACTGGGTTCAATCCTCAGCACCACATAAAAGTAAACAAATAAATAAAGGTATAATGTCCATCTACAACTAAAATTTTAAAAATAAAGAGGAGAGAGAGAGAAAGAACACTAAAGAATGCCACAGGAAAAGTTCTTCAATTCTCTGAGATTGTCTCAGATTACAAGGAAGAAAGATGGTTGAACCCATATTTACCTACTGCTTCTACCAAATAAGCCATTCAAATCACAGCAAAAGATGATTTTAAAGATACAACATATATTTGCTAAGATAGTAGATCTCAAAAAAGATGATAAGTTTGTGAGCTGCTGGATAAGTTAGCTGGATTGTGGTATTCACTTTACAATGTATGTATACATCAAAATGTCATAAAGTATGCTAAAATATTTGTAGTTTTTGTCAATTATACTGCAATGAAGTTCTAAAAATATCCAAAACAAAGATATAAACATATAAAGATATAGGATTAACGAAGAAGAAAGTAAAATTTGGGAGCTTTGGACTGGGGACGTAGCTTGGTGGTAGAGCACTTGTTTAACATGCTGAGGCTCTGGGTTCAACCCCAGCACCAAAACCAAACAACAACAACAACAAAAATTGATAGCATTAGAGCAGCCTGCTCTCTACTGCTGGACCCCAGAGTGTAAATTGCCAGCATCAGTTCCCAGCACATGGGCAGCAGGCAAGAGAAAGACACCTTCTTTGGAAAATCTGACCAGCTCATGAGAAAGGACCCAACCTCCAGAGACAATCAGGGAACAGGCCACATCATGTGCTTAGAGCTTGCAATAGGCACTTAGTGCTTCTTTCTTGTATGTGAGCAGACTGCCAAGAATTGATGGCTGTTTGGGAAAAACATCCAGATACAGTAAAAGGAGAACAGAAAGTGAAGGGGAGAGAAGGAACTAGAGAACTAATTAGAAAAAACTCTGAACAGAGGGCTATGAGTTTCTAGATTGAAAAGGCCTGCTGAGTACCCAGCACAGCCGATGAAAATAGACTTTCAACAAGGCACAATATTTTGAAAATTTTAGTGCAATGGTTATAAAGAAAAGACTCTATGAGCATCCCTAAAGAAAAAAGAATAGGCCCGGCACAGTGGTGTACACCTGTAATCCCAGTTAGTTAGGGAGGCTGAGGAGGGCAATCGCAAGTTCAAGGCTGACCTCAGCAGTTTAGTGAGGCTCTGTCTCAAGATAAAAAAATAAAAAGGACTTTGGGGTGCAGCTCAGTGGTAAAGCATCTCTGGGTTCAATCTCCAGTACCAAAAAAAAAGAAAGAAAAAAGAAAAAAGAACAGCTTGTATACAAATAATCAGTTTCTCAGTCACGCTAACCTCATTTCAAAAGCTTAAGAGCCACATGTGGCTAATCACTGCTATATCAGACAGCACGCGTATGAAACATTGCCATCAGTGCAGTCGATTCTGTTGAACCTCCCTGCTTTCCATACTTCTATTCTGATGTAAGGTAGACTTGCTTTCACAAAATTATACTTCCTACATGCTTTTATGTTGGTCAGTTTCCCCTGGTTATATTTTATCACTTTGTGCTAAGATAAAATATTTTCTTTTTTAAGGTGTGCATGTATAAACACCCTTATTTTAATTTTGTTTTACAGCTATTTTCTCCATAATGATATTTGAGACTATTACCAATCAAGATCTGCCTGTGATTAAATGTGTTTTAATCACTCATAAGAACAATGATTCATCTGTTGAGAAGTCGTCAGAGTATCCCATGGTAAAGTAATATTGAAATGATAGCTTTAGCTGTTTTTCTCTGGAGACTGTATTTTGTAAGCTGTTGGCTAAATGAGCTTTCCTTCTGATGTATTTAGGTGTGTTGTTCACTCACATCTGGTGCAGCTGTGGCTTCTGTACTCCTAGCTACTTGGTACTCCATTTCATCACAGAATTGTGTTCTGGCTCGGGCCATAGCTCAGTGGACATACTTGGTACACAAGATCCTCTGGGTTCAAGCTCCATCACAGAGACCTCTGTGTGTGGGGGAGTGTGTATGTGTATCAAGATCCGTGTTCTCCTTTTAGTGTGCATTCATAAAGGACACTGATTCCAGAATGAAGAAGTAGTGAGTATTTTCCTTTCTCCTTAGAGAGAGACCAGGCTTCTCACGAAGGCTGAATCCCTAATTTCCCACCTCCAATTGGATATAGGATTTTTCCATTGATATATTAAAATCCACTTAGTAATTTATTTCATTTCTGTTTTCCCCAACTTCCACTTATCTTGTTGTTGTTGTTGTTGTTCCAGGGATTGAACCCAGGGGCTCTTAATCTCTGAGCCATGTCCCCAGCCCTTTTTAATATTTGTTTAGAGACAGGGTCTCGCTGAGTTGCTTAGGGCCTTGTTAAGTTGCTGTGCCTGCCTTTGAACTTGCAATCCTCCTGCCTCAGCTTCCCAAGACACTGGGATTATAGGTGTGAGCCATAGCACCCAGCTTCTGGTTTATACCCTTGTTCAGTTCCCAAGCCTAAAAGCTGAGAATCATTTTGGACTCCTCCCCACTCTTTCACATTCTGTCAGCTACCAAGACTAACTAATTCATTTTAATCACCTCGTATTTGATCTCCGCCACTTCCCTAGTTCACCCCTTCATTAACTCCCTCAGATTCACAAATCTTTTTTTTAAATTTATCTTTATTTGTTTTTATGTGGTGCCAGGATCGAACACAGTGCCTCATGCATGGTAGGCAAGTGCTCTACCACTGAGCCACAACCCCGGGCCCCAGATTCACAAATCTTAAGCAGCCTCTTCCTGCTGCAGTCATCTCAGATATGGCTGCCAGACTGGTCTTTCTGAGGCCCAGCTATGCCCCTCCATGGCCTGGCTCAGAACCGTCAGTGGTTTCTCATTACTTAGAGTGGGATCCAGATTACTCCCTAATCCGGCTTTGGCTCCTTCAAGTTCCAACCTTGTTTTTCATTATTCCTCTCTTTTATGCTATTCATCCAACATGATGGCTCCCACCCTCTCTTTCTAAAGTGAAAGAAACTGAAATGATCACAGACTGCAAATATTCTTTGCTATGAGAGTTTAAACTTCACTGTTTTTTTTTTCAGTATAGAAAAGTAGCTGTATACATTTAGTGTTTTATAAACACAATCTTAAAAACAAAAATCTAATGACAATCAGACTTGGTTCCTGGTAATAAATCCTGTGTTTGTTTATTTATTTATTTTGCAGTGCTGGGGATTGAACCCAGGACCTTAGCGCATGCTAGGCAAGCATTCTACTACTAAGTCACATCCCCAGCCCCTGTATTATTTTTTTAATATAGTGTAAATTATATTCTTATGCAATACTCAGGAATATATAAAAACTCACTAGTTTTTAGGCCACATTAAACAAATGACCGTACAGATCTTAACTGCGGCAAAAATAAACGGTCTTTACAGTGCATTTTCATCTCATTGAAGGTGAATCTGTTCCTTTGGAATGTTTTCCCATTTAAATGTGAAGTAAACATGTTAGAATTTCAGTGGTTTAAAAAAATGTTTTTATTTCTTCCACAGTTCAGTTTTCAGATGAGACATCTTTCTGGAAATCTCTAGTCCCACTACATTTCTAATAACCAAACACTCTTTAGTAGAATAAAAAAAAAAAAAACTTGTGAATGCAAGTCAAATAAATAAGCAAGCACATCTTCAGCTATATTTCTGGAACCTAGAAGACAATTTTACTATTCTCATAACCCATTTAATTATTTTTTGAAACCTGAATATTTCCATCATTTATAATCTCTGGAATGATAGTTCTGAGAATCCCTTTTCATGACTGCTTGCAGACAGTCTAGACCAATTCTTACATATTCTTCACATTTGCTTTTAAATAATAACTTACTAAAGACAACAAGCCCACATACCATCTGAGGAAATGTGCTGTTTTTCTTCCTGTGAACAGTGAGAGCAGGCAGGTGGTCTACCACAACTCTCAGGATGACCTCTTCTCACCAAATAGGTCATAAGTTCACCTACACCTCTCTTCCTCCAGGGTTAAAGTTAAAGCTGCATTTGGTCTCAAATTCTTTCTGTACAGAACTCTTGCCATTGTATCATGGTCGTGAGAAAACTTTAAAAAAATTTAAAAATCCCCAGTATCCTTTAAAGAAAGGCTTTCTGTTTGTGAAGACCCAAAATCGCTGATTTTGAAATCGCTGATTCCCACAGCATTGTCTTTTGGGCAGGAAGCCTGTACAAGCCAGTTCATTTTCTTTTTGTGCCATTTCATACCCCACTCTTCTAGAGATCTAGATTTGTTTTGTTTGTTTGTCTGTGAGTTTTTTTTTTTTTTTTTGGTAATGGATTTTCTTTTTCTTTCTTTCTTTTTTTTTTTTTTTCTAGGTATCAGGGATTGAACCCAGGGGCGCTTAACCACTGAGTCACATCCCCAGCCCTTTTTATTTTTTATTTTGAGATAGGATCTTGCTAAAGTTGCTTAGAGCTAAATTGCTGGGGCTGGCTTTGAACTTGCAATCCTCCTGCCTCAGCCTCCTGAGTCATTGGATTACAGGCATGTGTCACTGCACCCAGCCCTGTAATAGAATTTAGAAAAGGGTGACATATTTTAACGTTTCTCTTTGTGATAGAACACCATATGTAGAGTCTCTGGACTTTTCACAGCTTGCCCAACTGTTTTAATAATGTAAGCAGCCAACTGTGTTAGGGATTTCTTAAGCAATGTCACGTCTTCAGTAGAATTCCTTGTTCTAAGATGATCAATGAATTGATCCTCACCATTAATACAGAAGTTGTACTTTTTCTTTTTTTAACATTTAAGGTTTTAGATGCCACAGTCTCTTAAATACCAATGCCTCATGGGACTGTGCACCTTAGCCCAGGTGGGCACTGAGGACTTTGCCTGGTCTTCTAAACCATCCCTCAGGTTCTGGCTGGCAGGACTCAGGGCTATCCCAATGCTGTGGGCCTCTGGTGCCGCACCACCTCTCTGCTTTTATCATGTAATTCTTCTTTGCTGTTCTCTCCTCTGAGACCCTTAGATTTGTCTATTCAAAATGGTACCCATTTCTCATTTTGGTGGGGGGCGGGGTCCTGGGGATTTAATTCAGGGACACTCGACCACTATCCCTAACTCTATTTTATATTTTATTAGAGATAGGGTCTCACTGAGTTGCTTAGGGCCTCACTAAGTTGCTGTGGCTGGCTTTGAACCCTCAATCCTCCTGCTTTAGCCTCCCAAAACACTGGGATTATAGGCATGCGCCACTGTGCCCAGCTCCCATTTCTCATTTTTAACAATGGTTGATTTTGAAAGTGTTTGAGATTTACAGAGAAGCTGCAGAAATAGTACTGGAAGAAGAATGGAGAGGTGTTGGTTAACGGGTGCAGAGTTTCAGTTTGGAGGAATAAGTTCTGGAGATCTATTGTGCATCATGGTGACTAAATAATAATAAAGTGTTGTATTCTTAAAAAGTTCTATAAGAATGGATTTTAAATGTTCTCATCACAAAATCTGATAATAAGGATGTGAGATGTAAATGTTAATTGATTTAATAATTTCACATTGTGTGTGTATGTATATTTGATATATAATGAATATATATACAATGACAAAACTTCACATTGTACACCATATGTAAATAAACAGTTTTTCATTTGATGATATAAAAAAAGAAGAAGAGAGCTGAGCACGGTGGTACATGCCTGTGATCCCAGTGGCATGGGAAACTGAGGCAGGAGGATTGCGAGTTCAAAGCCAACCTCAGCAAAAGCAAGGAACTAAGCAACTCAGTGAGACCCTGACTCTAAATTTAAAAAAATACAAAATAAGGCTGGGGATGTGGCTCAGTGGCCTGGTGCTTGTAAGTTCAACCCCTGGTACCCCCCCCCCCACACACACACAAAAAAAAAGGTAGAAGGGCGTTTTACTGTACACATCATCCAGCTTCCCTGACCGTTCTCATTTTATGTAACCATACTACAGTGACCAAAACCAGAAAACTAATAGTATGATGAGCTACATGCCTAATTTGAATTTCGCCAGCCTTTTTACTATGGCTTTTCTATTCCTGGATCCCATCCAGCATCTCACAGGTGTCATGTCTCTTTAGGCTCCTTCAGTATGTGACAGTTCCTCAGTTTTGTCTTTCATGACCTTGACATTTTTGAAAAATACTGGACAGTTATTTTACAGAACATCTCCCAATTTGGATCTGTGTGCTGTTTTCTCATAATGAGGTTGAAATTATGTGTTTTGGGCAAGAATTTCCCAGAAGCAATGTGTGTCCTTCCTAGTGTCCCATAACAGGCCTTGTAGGAGATCAGTGCGTCTCCTGACTAGCAACGTGGTCTCCATCACTAAATTGAGAAACTATGCCACATTCCTCCACTGTGATGTTACTATGTTTTCCCCCTAGTCGTTAATAAGGGTCTTGGGGAAGATGTAAATATCCTGTTTATCATCCAATTTTTACCTACTAATTTTAGCACCCATTACTATGGTGTTTACCTGATTCTTTTTCTTTCATTTCCTCTATATTTATTAATTGAACTTATTTTGTGAGAAAGAGCTGTCCCTTCTCCCAACTTTTATTTACTTAGATCACTATGGATTCATGGATTTTATTTCATTCTGTCCTTATTTCATTACTCTCCTTATTTATTTTGTTGCTCAAATAGTGCTGGCTTTGGCTACAGGGGCTATTACAACTTGGTTCCTGTGTCCTTTCAATGTGTCCCCATCTTTTTTCAAGTACTTACTTTTTTGGTACCACAAGATAGTTGAGGTTCATCTTGTATTTTTCTTGCCTCAGTCTTATAATTAATATTTCTCCAGGAAACAAGGAAGCATTGGTTTCCTAAAGGATAGTATTTACTTCCTATTTATTTATTTATTGAGGTTCTGGGGCTGGAACCTAAGTCTCATGCATGCCAGGCAAGTAGGTATTCTACCACTGAGCTACAACCCCAGCTCTAAGGTCTAGCATTTAGAAACTAAGATCTAGGCAGGATATGCTCATTACTACTGGAACGTCACTGCTTCTGAACTCGCAGCAGAGAGCTAGGAACTGTGTGTGTATATTCTCCCATAACTGGCTATGCTTATTTATATGATTTTTATTTATGCTCTCATTACAAGTTCATGCCAACAACTCTGATTTCATTCAGCATCAAAGAGTTCATTCTAGTTTACTCCTCTTTACTTTTTGTTCCTGTTTCTATGAGAGTGAGAAACTTGGTTCTCATTACCTTTATTTATTTGTTTATTCATTTCATCCTGGCACATAGATAAACTTGTTTCAGAATTGCTAATCAATATCCCTGTAAGTGACAGATGATGAACTAGATAGAGTACAGTATCTAGGTATAGTGCTTTCTTTCTTTCCTCTGATAGTATCTGAAGTATTATTTTCCAAAGTTATTTAAGTTAGTTTCCTCCCTATCCCTGTCACTGAAGTTTTGTAGTTTATTTCTAATGCCATTGAGTTAATTTGATTTGTATTCTATTTCGATGTTCCCTTCACATCCTTGTTGATTTTAATGATATGCACCTTTTAGGATTTTGGTAATCTGGGCATATTTCCCCCAGATAATCTTACCTCCTCAGGTCACTCACATTCACCTCGATGACAATACCTTTGCTAATAACACCTGAAGTTGTACATATTGGATATGAGGGATTTAAAACAATTTTTTTAGGGGCTGGGGTTATATAGCTCAGTGGCAGAGCGCTTGCCTTGCACTTGTGAGATACTGGGTCCAATCCTCAGCACCACATGAATGAATGAATGAATGAATAAATAAATAAATAATAAAGATATTGTGTCTATTTTTTTAAAAATTTTAAATTTATTTATTTATTCTAATTTGTTATACGTGACAGTAGAATGCTTTTTAATTCATAGTACATGTATAGAGCACAATTTTTCACTTCTCTAGTTGTACACAAAGTAGAGTCACACCATTTAGGTCTCTGTTTGAATAACTTTAATACTTATTTTTCTCCCTGAAAACGAGGAGGGTTTTTTTCATTTTACAACCTTTTCTTCTCATTTTTGTTTAATCACGCTGGAAAGTGCTTTCACTTGGGACTGTCCTTCTCTGCCCAGCAGATAGGCAGGTACTTCTCCCCATGAAGTTTTTTCACTGTTCTTTCATTTGGTTATTTCTTTTTTCATGCTTCTTGATATACATTTCCCCCCATACTGGGGATTGACTCCAGGGCCTTGCATAAGCTTAGCATGTGCTGTACCACTGAGCTATACCATCAGACATGACAGCTTTTTCATTTGCATTTTCTCAGCATGACACTATGGAAGAGCTTAACCCTCAGATCAAAAATTTTTGGACCTCTTTGAATGTTCATGAGCTTTTCAACTACTCTTCTTCCTCTTTTTTCTCCTAATCCAAATGGTATCCATAGCGTTTACAGTGCGACTCAATATATTTATTTTGCATGGCCATTTGCAGCCTTCAGGATTCAAAGAAACTTTCAAATTTCAGGTCTCAGAGAATGATGAGCTGATTTTGTACAGCTCAAAGTAGGAAAAGGCTACCTCTATACATCTCTTGTTTGTGTGTAAACTGTTTATTCAGTTCTTTTCTCCTCTTTCCTATCATGTTTTTGGTCCTATGTCGCTCAATTTTAGGAGTATTAGCCCTTTATTTGTAATATAAGCTGTGAATATTTTCTTCTAGTATGTCACCTGGTTTTCGCTTCTCTCATGTCCATCTTGTAAGCTCTTTGTTGTTGGACTTGGGTGAAGCATACCAATATCCCAGGGCAAAGGTCTCTCTCCTCTGAAGTTGAAGAGTACTTGAATTTTTCTTTTAAAGTAGTTGGTATCTTTTTACGGAGCACATCATATTTCACCTGTGTTTTAGTCATTTCTTCCATGTAGACTCAAAACTCTTTAAGGACAAGATCAGTGTTTCATTCTTTCTGATCAGTATCTAGCAGACTGTCTTGCACTTCTCAGATTTTAACTAAACGAATTTATTATCAGATCTTACTGAATAAGGGAACAATAAGAACAGAAATGTGACTTAAGATCAGTAGCAAAAGAGCTACCCCGTTCTTCACTTGAAGAAATTTTTATGTGTGTGTATGTGCGTGATCGTGCACAGTGCTCATACATGTTAAGAAGCTAAGAGAGGGGGTGTGTAGCAGCAGAACCTGCTACTACACCTCCTCTCAATATATCTTTATTATTTAAAGCAGACAATAAGTGTGGTTGTGGCAATGAGTCTATGGGGAAATCCACACAGAAAAGTCTGGTGTTTAAATTCCCTCTAACAGCCACACTACTTTACCTTTGCTATGTCGATTCTTATCTACATATGATAATCATAAAAATATTTAAGTATGTATAATGGACTTTATAATTATGGTCTGTGTATTAGTTAGCTAGGGCAGACATGGAAATTATACCAATTTGGTGACTTAAACAATAGAAATTTATTGTCTCACAGTTCAATAGGCTAGAAGTTCAAAAAGGTGTTGAGAGTTGGTTCCTTCTGAGGTCTGTGAAATGGAATCTCTTCCAGGTCTCTTTTTGGCTTGTAAGTAGAAGTCTTCAAGCCCACATGGCATACTTCTATTGGTATATAGATTATTGGTATATAAATTATTGGTTTATGTGTATGTCTCCAAATCTCTTCTCAGACACCAGTAATATTGGATTAAGATCCATCCGAATGACCTCATTTTAATTTGATTGCCTCTGTAAGGACCTTGTCTCCAGATAACCCTGTCACATTCTGTGGTACTGAGGGCTAGGACTTCAGTGTATGAATTTTGGACAGGGTGGTCCAATTCAACCCACAACAGTACATACAACCCTTTAGAAATTCAGCCTAACTTCACAGAAGAAGAAATATGAATGATCAAAAGATACATGAAAAAATATTCAACATCTCTAGCAATTAATTAAAACTATGCTAAGATTCCCTCTCACTCTAGTCAGAATGGCAATTATCAAGAATACAAGTAACAATAAATGTTGGTGAGGAGCCACATGCAGTGGTGCACACCTGTAATTCCAGTGGTACACGCCTGTAATCCCAGTGGCTCGGGAGGCTGAGACAGGAGAATTACGAGTTCAAAGTCAGCCTCAGCAATGGCAAGGTGCTAAGCAACTCAGTGAGACCCTATCACTAAATCAAATACAAAAATAGGGATAGGAATGTGGCTCAGTGGCAAGTGCCCCTGAGTTCAATCCCAGGTACCCACCCCCCAAAAAAATGTTGGGGAGGATGTGGGGAAAAGATACACTCATATATTGCTGGTGGCACTGAAAATTGGTGCGATCACTATGGAAAGTACTATGGAGATTTGTTAGAAACTTGGAATAGAACCACCATTTGACCCAGTTATCCCACTCCTTGGTATACACCCAAAGGACGCAAAACCAGCATACTGTAGTGACACAGCCACATCAATGTTTATAGCAGCTCAATTCACAATAGCTAAGCTATGGAACCAACTAGGTGCCCTTCAATAGATGAATGGGTAAAGAAAATGTGGTGCATATACACAATAGAATATTACTTAGCCATAAAGAAGAATAAAATTATTACATTTGCTGGTAAATGGATGGAACTGGAGAATATTATGCTAAGTGAAATAAACCAGTCCCAAAAAAACAAAGACCAAATATTCTCTCTGATATGTGGATGCTAACACACAATAAGCTGTGGGGGAGGAATAGAAGTTCATTGGATTAGACAAAGGGGAATGAAGGGAAGGGAGGGAGGATGGGAATAGAAAAGACAGTAGGATGAATCAGACATAATTTTCCTATGTTCATATTTGAATACATTACTGTGAAACTCTACATCATGTACAACTGCAAGAATTGGATCCTAATTAGGATGTTATACTCCAGGTATGTATAATATGTAAAAATATACCTACTTTCATATATATTAAAAAGAACAAATAAAACATAATAAAAACATAAAGCTCAAAATTTGATAAAAAATCAGCCTAAAGTTATTTTCTCTTGAGAGAATTATAAATAATAGGATTTTTCAGTCAGTGAGTAATATAGTCTCAGTGGGTCACAGCAGGCTTGGGTGTTGTATGCAGAATGTCAATATGCATGTATTTGTTACAGGTTTCTTGCTAAGAAAAGGATGCATTAAACATAAAATTATTGTGAGTTCACATTGTTCCTTCTACAATGTAGGTACCAGAATCCCCAGAAGACCTGGGGTGTACCTTGAGGCCTGAGAGGACAGGGGCAGTGTATGAAGCTGCTACCGTGGAAGTAGATGTATCTTCATCCATCACGCTGCAAGTGTTGGTCAACATCCCGGGGAACATTTCCTGTCTCTGGGTCTTTAAACACAATTCCCTGAATTGCCAGCCACACTTTGATTTACACAACAGGTAAGAGAGGTCAGATGCACAATCACAAGTATTTCAGAAATAATATTTTCTTGCATAGAACTTGATTCATTTGGAATTCCTCTTCAAGTTTCTGTTCATGTTGATGGATGCAGTGGTGCATGCCTGTAATCCCAACAACTTGGGAGTCTGAGGTTGGAGGATCACAAGTTCAAAGGCAGCCTCAGCAACTTAGTGAGGCTCTAAGCAACTTAGCAAAACGTGTCTCAAAATAAAAAATAAAAAGGGCTCGGGATGTGACTCAGTGGTTGAGCACCCTTCGCTTCAATACACAATACCAAAAAAAATGGACTGAGGCTATGGTTCAGTGGTAAAACATCCTTGGGTTTTATCCCCATTTAAAAAAAAAGTTTAAAAAGTTTCTATCCATGTCTATCTTATCTCCAATAAAATAATAAACTAAAGATAGAGCTAAGAATATGGATATTTGACATTATGTATGTCAAATCTCATAAGAGGTACAACAGAAAAAGTGAACCCTAATGTAAACTATGGACTTTAGTTAATAAGAATGCATCAATATTGGTTTGTCAATTATAACAAATATGCCACACCTGTGTGAAGTATTAATAATATAGGAAACTGTGTGATAAGAAAGGCATATATGGGATTTCCTTGTACTTTCTATTCAATTATTTTTTAAATCAAAACTGTTCTAAAATTAAAATCTATTAATTTAAAAAACCAAAGACCAAATATTCTCTCTGATATGTGGATGCTAAACATAAGAATTATATATGTATTACATATACAGGGAGAGAAAGATGGGCTGGGGTGAGGAAAGAGGGCAATCAATGATTACTGAGTGGCTGGCAGAATGTGAAACAAATAATGAAAAAAATACTTAGGATTTTTAAATGTGTCATTTTTTAAATTGACTGTCAAATTAAAGATAAAAAGTTAGAAAGTTTTCATTTTATTCCAGTTAATGTAATAAGAAACTTCTTTCTTGGAAATGCTTGGGGATAGAACATTTGGTTTTTATCTATTTTGTTCCATAATATAAGAAGAATTATGTGATAGCCACAAAATGTTTTCGTAAGACATTGATCTGTCTGTAAGGAACACTGGTCTCACTATCCAGAAGAAAAGATCTTATCCAAACCTCTAATTCTATGCTGATCACTGTACCCTGCTGCCCTCCTCCTATAGGAGAAGAACAAGGGGCACAGGGCATTTATATGCCACTTAATGATTCTTAGGCTGCCTTTCTTTTTAGTTCTTGGGGACATTTGGATGCTCCAATAGCTATAGAGAAAATGCTGTCTTTCTAAGAACAATGCAGAAAACAGTACCCAGTACCCAAATGACCAGAGATGGGTGTCATGACCCTGGATGAGGTGTTGGAGAATTTCTCTGTGACTGACTGGTACAAACTGGATTTTTTTTTTTTTTTTTTTTTTTTTTGTCCTTTAACATCAAATAAACTCTTGTGCAATTATCAGGACGGTGGGTATAATTCTTAATGTTAGTTCTAAATCTTAGAGCACATTCGTTTTCCTTTCCTCTTTTGAGATTGTATATACTCACTTCTGTTTTTCAGTTACTTTTTACCTTGGGGTTAAACCAAAGCAGTCTTCTATTAAGAATTTTGGCTTAGTGGTTGGGAACATAGCTAAGTGGTAGAGCACTTACCTAGCATGCAAGGCCCTGGGTTCAATCTCCAATGCTGAAAAAAAAAAAAAAAAAGAAGAGAAGAAAAAATGGGTAGGGGAGGGGCTTAAAGAAATGTTCTGCCACAGAAGTTCTCACCAGATTGAGACCAAAAAACAAAGTAACAAGGTAGGGTTACTTCACTCAATAGAGCTCACATTCTCGCTCTAAGGCAGGCAACCAGCTTGTTAACTAAAGTCATAATTGCCCTGTAGGTTAGTTTACTTAGTACCAAAACGTATTTTCGTGACTTTATTTTTAAAATGTTTTTTTGTTGTTGATGGACTCGATACCTTTATTTTGTTTATTTATTTTTATGTGGTGCTGAGGACCAAACCCAGTGCTTCACACATGCTAGGTAAGTGCTCTACCACTGAGCTACAGCCCAAGCCCTGTGACTTTTTCATAGTAGAGAATTATAAAAATTATATCTGGACTCGCTCATAGGCAGAACACTTCTAGGAGTTCACAGATGACCACTGGGGGTGTAGTAACTCAGTGATAAAGCCACTTGCCTGCCATGCATGAAGTCCTGGGTTTCATCCCCAGCACCAAATTTTTTTTTTTAAAGTTCACAAATGATAAGGAGAATAAGTTGTTCAAAGAAAGATAGCCCATCAACAAAATCAATCTGCAGATGCAAATCAAGTGTATGTCCTACTATCTGTGGGTGCAAGCACTTTAGGACTCGCTGGCTCCTGGGGTGGTTGTTAAAATGCAGATTCTGATCCAGTAGGTCTGAATGGGGACTGAGATTCTGCATGTTTGTCATGCACACACCCCTGACAGATGCTAACATTGTTGGAAAAAGACCATACTTTGAGTTGTAAGAATTTAAAGGTCGGCTGTGTGCTGTGGCGCATGCCTATGATCCCAGCGACCCAGGAGGCTGAGTCGGGAGGATCACAAGTTTGAGGCCAGCCTGGGTAACTTAGCAAGACCTTGTCTGAAAATAAAAAAGGCTGGAGTTGTAACTCAGTGGTAAAGTGCCCCTGGGTTCAATCCATAGTACTACAAAAAATGGTCCATGGTTATTGTGAAAATGACAGAGCCCCAAGCTGGAGAATACCTACTTTTTATTCAGAGTGAAGCTACCAATTACACAATATTGTTTACAGTGAGTATAAGAAGTAAGTTCAGTTTGCTACTAGGCATTCCCAACATTCAAGTAAATAAACAAAATCACAAAGTGTAAATTTAAATCTACACCATTCAATAAACTACTAGAGAGCACTAAAAGAGAATAGGTATTGCTAAATCCACATCAAAAGTATCTCTTTGAAGGGAAGACCCCTGGCCAAATTGACCTTTACTAATGATCTGAAAAGTTAACCATACTGACACTTAGGAATTGTTCTGCTTCTATGTTGTATGTTGGTGAAATTACTACTTCATAGGAAAATGCTTCATGTCAGATTTACTCAAATTCTTTCAGTTAGAGAGAGAGGGCCCACACCAGAAGAATGTTCTTTATCCCAGGGTATCTCATTTGTACAGCCATCAGGCTCTGCCATTGAGGAACTGAAGCTGGTGACCAGGTGACCAGGCAAACAGGATCATGGAAGGTGCTTTGTCACGGAAGGGACACCAGAGCACATGTGCCCCTAAGGCTTTGCAATTTTGAATGGGAAATTTCCCTCCAAGGGGCTCAGGAAACATGAGCTGATGGCTAGAATGGAGCTCACTCACTTTCAGGGGTGGGAAGTCACTGTCATATTATAATGGTCAGGCTGAGTATTGGGCACAGGCAAAAACTGTTCTCCACCAAGCAGCCCTCTGTGCCACAGTCACAGGGAGCCACCAACCCACCTTCTGACTCAGTATGAAATTTTGTTTTTAGTTTCACACCTTTGCCAAAGTAACCAGTTCTCTTTCCTGTTTTACAGAGGAGTTATTTCCATGGTCATTGTGAAAATGACAGAGACCCAAGCTGGAGAATACCTACTTTTTATTCAGAGTGAAGCTACCAATTACACAATATTGTTTACAGTGAGTATAAGAAGTAAGTCCAGTTTGCTACTAGGCATTCCCAGTATTCCAGAAGTAGTTTAGAACCCATTTGATTCTTTAAAAATTCTTTAAAAAATTTTTTTATTGGTGCATTATAGTTATATATAACATGGGATTCATTGTTACATATATATATTTGTACACAATATGAAACCCATTTGTTTTTGACCCATGACTCAAGATATAATATTCAGGCTTCTCTCAATATGTAGCTGATTTGAATTTTGTTCCTTTGTCCACATAATCTGAGAACTGAGAATCTCCCATGTTCCTATGGACTCTCAGAATGCGAAGACCTAGGACATAACTCTATTCAGGGGTCCTCCTTTTTTTTTTCTTTCAGTAAACAAATGGATGAAAAACTATTGTGACCTTGGAATTAGAAGTCTTGGGTTCTAATTCCAGTTCCCAAACTGCTCCTTTTGGCAGGTGACTAAATCTCTTTGAGCCTGAATTTCCTTATCTGTAAAAGGAGGATAAAAGTATGTATCTCACAAGATAAGTAAGGTCTTAGCAAGATCCAATAGAACTTTTTTTAAAAAACATTTATTTATTTGTTTTAGTTTTAGGTGGACACAATACCTTTACTCTACCTTTTTATGTGGTACTGAGTATCGAACCCAGTGCCATGCATGCTAGGCAAGCGCTCTAGCCACAACCCCAGCCCCCCAATAGAACTTTTGATATGATGAAAATGTTCTGTCTGCTCTGTCTAATATGGTAGCTCCTGGCCATATGTGGCTGTTAAATACTTTAAAATGTCCCTAGTGTGACTGGGGAGACAGTTTCAATTCATTTAATTTTAATTAATTAAAATTTGAATTTAAAGCCATATGTGGCTAATGACTACTGTATCGGACAGTACAGGTCTATACAAATGCTGGGTTATGCAAACTGTACAGAACAATCCAAATGTCCTTACCCAGGGAGACAGCTATGTTGGATCACCACCTCCATCTGCTTTCTGGCATCTCATTTTGTCCCCATTAAGCACAGACCTAGCATTTGCACAGACTTAATGCTGTGCACACTGAGTGCATTGTTTTACTTTACATGACTAATAAAAGTAACTGTGGTAACATAGTTCATGTGTCTCTAGGGGGCCAGGGCACTGCTCCACAAACTCTGGGTTAATGCCACTTTAAATTAGCTTTCCTGGTGACACATTGGTGCAGTTTGCCAGGCTCCCTTCTTTCTTGTCAGTGATTCCACACAAAGCTGGGGTGTGGTGCCTGTGTGCCCAGCCCATAAGGGCACTGGGTCAGGAATGGCCACAATCACCCTTTGCTGAGGGTGTTCTACCTGTATCACTTCAGATGCTCACAATGACCAACACCTGCACGTAGATGTGAAAATAGGCACTCCTGAGACATGATAATGGTCACAGCTAAATTCCAATTTAAGCCAGGTCTACACTTTTCACACTATGCTGCACTGGGCCTTGTGTGTGAGAGTGTGGCCTTGCAGTCAGAGATACTGACAGCAGAGAGTGCTTCACATTCCCAGAAGGGTCATGGTACTGGGTCATGGTACAACCGTGGGGTGTTAGGTTCCAAAGTTAGTTCCCAAGACAAAAATCAGGTAAAGTCAAAATTTGAAAATCCCTTCAATTATTCTGAAACTAGTAAGACCATAGTGCTAGAAAAGCAAAATCAAGAATTACCTTTGATTTTCGATCTTGATTCACGAGCTTCTCTACTTCCTTATTCTCCTTTATTGGACACTATGTGCTCCAGGCTGGAAGAGGATAAGAAATTCTTGCTCTCTCTTTTTATCAAGGGCATATAATTATGTAAGGGAAGTGGGCATCTGCTGTGGCCCTATTATATTTAGACTTACAGTGTAAAAATATAGTAACAATCGATCAATTAAATTAGAACTTTTTAAAAAGTATTCTGCTGAGTGGTGGGGTTCAAAACAAAAACAAAATTGGTGGGAGTGACTTGGCAATAGTCAGTGTGAAAGAGACAATCACAAGCTCTGTATTAACTAAGAGTGTGGCATGGTTGCTAAAATAGTAAACTTGAACCTTGGCAGTATATGTGAAAATATATTGTCTAGCCCAAGGAAATGAATAGATTATTATTTTCAGTTCCGCATTTTTTTTTCAGATAAATATGGATAAAACACAGCAAAAAAAAAAATAGTGAAGAATTTGGAACGCCTTAAATTAGGAGCAGCTCAGGGAATTGGGGATGTTTGGCATAGAGAAGGGAATATTTTGAGGAGTAGCAATTGATTATAATGAAATATAGAGGAAATAATTCTGGGATTTTGAGTCAGGAAACCTAGGCTAACTTGTTAAAATGCCTTGGGTGGTAATTATCTCTCTTGACCTCAGTTTTTATTTTAAATATTTGAAGTACTACCATGTAGAAGCAAAGCTAGACTTAAAAAACAATTGCTGTAGAGGGTAAAATTGGGACCCAACATTAGAAATTACAGGGATGAAAAGTTAAAAACCACCACAACATAGGAAAGGTACTTACCGTTCCCAGTCAACAAAAGATTAATGTTCATAATATGTAATGATCTTCTGTAAATCAGTAAGAAGCAAAGCAAAACAAAACCCAGTAGAAAATGAACAAAAACGACAAATGGTCATTTTATTTCTAGAATATGAAACTGAAATGGTCAATAAACACGTGTTAAAAGATAAACTTTAAAATTTTAAGAGTTTGAACAGACAGTGATTCATGAATTGGGCAAGTGGTGGGTTCCATTAAGGAGTTGTGAGGGGAAGATTTTTACAAAACATTCACAGAAGCAAGACAAAGAAGAGATTTGATAGGTTAAAGTGGAAAGTCCCCAGTTAGAGGTTAGTTGGCAGTTTTAATTTGGCTAATTTTCTAGGTAGAGGTTGGTTGGCGGTTTCTAATTGGTTACACTTAAGTTCATTGTGCTGTTTCCACAGAGCTGGGTTTGGTTTGATTATGTAGGAACCCAGGGCACTGGAGCCATCTCAGTACAATGGCCTTCCAACAAATTATTTTAATATACATTAAGTTAATTATTAAATTAAGACCACAATGAGATACTGTTTTATACCCTCTAGATCACTGAAAATTAAGAAGTCTTGGTAAGTATACAGAGAATAGGAACTGTTGAATAGCATTAACTAATATAACCACTTTGGAAAACTAATTTTCATTATGTATAAAATTGAACATGCTCATATATTTAAACCAGCAGTTCCACTCCTGGGTTGTATTATTAAAGGAAATGTTACACACATGTCTTGGTAGAAATGCGTGGAATGTTTAAAAAACTGGAAACAAACATCCACTGCAGGAAAATGAAAAACAGATGGTGATTTACTTACCAGTGGAATGCTATATAGCTGTAAACAAAAGCAAAAACAATGAAGGATAACATGCAAAACCACGGCTGAATCTTAAGAAATAAGGTTGGACTGGGCATGGTGGTGTGCTGAAGGCTGAGGCAGGAGGATTATGAGTTCAAAGCCAGCCTCAGCAATTTAGCAAGGCCCTAAGCAACTTAGTGAGACCCTGTCCCAAAATAAAATATAAAATGAGCTGGGGTTGTGGCTCAGAGGTTAATTGCCCCTATGTTCAGTTCCTGATACAAAAAAAAAAAAGTTGGATAAAAAAATAAAGTTGTAGATGCAATATATTGAGTGATACAATATTTTGAAGCTCAAGAACAAGACAAATTAATATATTGTTTAGGGACACATATTTTTGTGGTAAATCTAGTTTTTGAAGTGCAGGAATGATAAGTACAAAATTCAGAATATGTGTTACCTAGGATTGAGAGGTAGGGAGAAGCATAAAATTAGGTTAAAATGTATTAATTAATATTCAAATTACTAAATTAGGTCAGGGGTCCAGGAGGATTTGTTAAAATCATTATGCTTCACAATTTACATGCCATATATTCCTCCATTTATATATACACATGTATACCAGAAGATACATCCTATTCCTTCATATATGCATGCATACACACATATATCAATGCATTGCATTTTAAATTGAAATTTGTTATAAGAAATTAAGTCTAGGGAAGGTTTTATTTTCATTTTTTTAAAAGTTTGTTAAAAATAGAAGAAAGAAGGAAAATGATCAGCTTTGTCGGGGTAGTGAACTCCAGTTCCTAGAAAAGTCCAAGTAGGAGTGGAAAAGTTTATATGTGGAACATGGTTGGGAGGATAGGTAGTGTGTGTGTGTGTGTGTGTGTGTGTGTGTTGTATGATGGTCCACTGTGAACAGCCTCTAAATTCTGTTCCAATTCTAACTCCATTCTACTCATATTTTTACATTTCTACATTATAATATATTTATACCTTGGTGTAGATGAAATTATGGGAAGAAAGTTGAGGGTTTTGTTTTTGTTTTGGCTCTAGGGATTGAACTCAGGAGCACTCAACCACTGAACCACATCCCCAGCCCTATTTTGTGTTTTATTTAGAGACAGGGTCTCACTGAGTTGTGAGGTTAGTGCCTCGCTTTTGCTAAGGCTGGCTTTGAGCCACTGCGCCCTGCTAGAATGTTGTTTTAAGCTGTATGTTAAATAAAGGGTTTAAGCTGTATATTATTGCTGCTAGTTTCCCTTTTTTATGCACATCAATATTTCCATTTTCACATTACTTTACTTACTTTAGTTATCTGTGGATTTGTGAATGTCCAAAGAAATTGACCAAGAGGATTATTGTTAAAGTTGACATTGCCGCTATAGTTGAATTTAATGTATTGCCTGGGTGTGGGGGGAGTGTATACTGCTATAATATAAAGTATTAATGTTTCTTAATGATGCAGATTTTTTTGAGGGGGCTGCTAAGACAATAATTTTTAAAAATATCAATAAAATATTAATAAGTATTAATATGTTAATAATTTATGATGCTGTAGATACACTGCTTTACACATTAAGAAGACCTTACTTTAGAAAAATGGAAAATCAGGATGCCCTGGTCTGTATATCTGAAAGTGTTCCAGAACCGATCGTGGAATGGGTGTTCTGTGATTCGCAGGGTGAAAGGTATGAGATGTGAAAAGATAACTGCTATGATTATTAATTTTTGGTCTTTTTCTAATGTAGTTGACCTCGCAATGTATTAAAAATTGAATGTATCTCTATTTCAACAGAAAACTTTGACTCCTTAAATGTACAGAATGAATAGTACGGGCCTCACAGGGGTGGGGGGGGCGGGTTTTTTTTTTTTTTTTTTTTTTTTTTGGTAAAGAGGGTTTTGAGGTCTGCTCACATCGACTGCAGGCTCCTCCCTGTCATCATACTCCATGAGTTATGGTATTGTTAAGTTATGGTATTGTTGATTCCTGGAGTATCTGGTTGGGGGGAAAAGATATTGGTTTTAAATACAGTCTCTTATAAGTAAGAAATTCTCTGTGACTAAATGTTTAATTTGTGGTCATTTTTTGTTCTGGAAACATAATTTAATATAATTGTTTAAAGATCAAGAATCTAAAGCCAGAGAACCTGGCTTTGAACCCTGGTTTGCCTGCTAACTGTGTAGCCTTGGACAAGTTATTTAACCTCTCTGGGCTTCATTTGAAGAAAGAGAATGTTAACAAGTATCATACAGAATTATGATGATGATTAAATGAGTTGATTACTCATGAAGCATATAGAACAGTTTCTGGCAGATACAAATACAGAGTCAATGTTTACTTTTCTTTTTCCATATGTGCCATCACTAAGCTCTCTGTAAGCAAGAATTCTTGAGGTTTGAACTAGTTGAAGCCTACTGAACCATTTTTTTTTGAAAAATGGGAGAAAATAGAAAGAGGAAAAGAAAAAAAGCCAGGTTCCCAAATGATATGAATGTGATCTCAAATTTTAGAAGTACAAAAAAAGATTCTTGAAACATACATATATACATTATATACAGAGAAAAAAAGATTGATAAGATACATATCAATATGATAACAGTTGTTATCTCAGAGTAATAGGATTGGATAACTTTATATTCTTTTCTTTGGGTTTTTCAGTATTATCCAACATTCATACAATGAACTGTTATTATTGTCTTGTAATTAAAAACAACTCAAGGAAGGCTACACAAAGAAAAGAGTAACTTGATTCTAGGGATGAAGAGAAGAGAGATGCTTCACAGATTCCAAAACCTTTATGTGCTTTGGGAAAAGCCTGGATTAGGGAAACGCTGTTAGGGAACCAAAGTCCACTTTGTGTTGAGGCCGGAGACAGTGTTGCTCTGTGGACTACTGAGATGGGCTTGGCTTTGTGACACTTAGACTTTTTCCTTTTTTGTCTTCCTTTTTAGTTCTTCCTTTCCCTGTTTTTAAAAGGCAACCAAAAACGTTGCCAAGCAAAAGAAAATTTTAACTGTTTATGATGTAGTGTTATTCTAACAAATTGAGATAATGAGTAACCAGCTAGTTTCCTTAGGAACCCTTAACTGAAGCGATAAATTTGTGTTTACCTGTTTTTTGTTGTTGTTGTTGTTTGTTTGTTTGTTTTTGGTATGGGGGATTGAACTCAGAAACGCTGAACTACATCCTCAGCCCTATTGTGTATTTTATTTAGAGACAGAGTCTCACTGAGTTGCTTAGCACCTCGTTTTTCTGAGGCTGGTTTCAAACTCAAGATCCTCCTGCCTCAGCCTCCTGAGCAGCTGGGATTACAGGTGTATACCACTGAGCCCAGTTTGTTTACTTTTTGATCTGCTCTTTGTTTTTTTTAATTTTTGCTTTTTTTTTTTTTAATTTTTGGCTCCTTAAGACAGGCTCAAGAACCTGTAACTCTGCACTCCTGAACATACATCTGTCTTTCTTTTTTTTTTTTTTTTTGAGATGTTGTGTTTGGAACCCAGGGCCTCACACATGCAAAGCCAGTGCCCTACCACTGAGCTACAACTCCAGCCCACAGCAGTCATTTAAAACCATATTTAGTCAAAGGGCCTTTGTTTTCTAATTACAGCTGTCAAGAAGAAAGTCCAGCAGTTGTTAAAAAAGAGGAAAAGGTACTTCATGAATTATTTGGAACAGATATAAGGTGTTGTGCAAGAAATGAACTGGGCAGAGAATGTACCAAGCTGTTCACAATAGGTAACACTCTAATATCATGTCCTTCTTATTTATTTTTTCTCCCATGCTGGGGACGCATCTGGGGCTTGGGGCATGCTAGGTGAACGCTCTATCACTGAGTTACACCCTTAACCCTATCATGTACTTTTATTTTCAGTGACTATTCCTTAGAAATTATCTGGGACTAACAGCAATCAAGTAATCATTCAGCTTCAGAAATTCTATCTTTTCTTTTTAATTTTTTTTAATTGTAGTTGGACACAACACCTTTATTTTATTTACTTATTTATTTTTTTTATGTGGTGCTGAGGATCGAACCCAGCACCTCACACATGCTAGGCGAGCACTCTACTGCTGAACCAAACCCCAGCCCCTCTCTCTTTTTTTCATAGCATTTAGTTTTATCTTATTTATTAAGTGCTGGGGATTGAATCCAGGGCCTTGTGCATGCTAAGTATGCACTCTTACCACTGAGCTACACCCCAGGCCCCTTTATATCATTTAAAATGTGATATTATGGATGCTGTAAGAACTGATTTCTCACCAAAGAGTAGTAAACCTCTAAAAGGTTATTTCATTAATACGGTTAATAATACTGGAGATGTTAAAATCTTTGTCCTCATAGGGGAATGAAGGGAAGGGAGGGGGAATGGGCATGGGAAAGGCAGTAGACAGAATGGGACATCACTTTCCTATGTTCACGTATGAAAACGTGACCAGTATAACTCCACATCACGTACAGCCACAAGGATGGGAAATTATACGCCATGTATGTATATTATGTCAAAATACATTCTACTATCATGTATAACTAAAAAGAACAAATAAAAAAATTTTTAAAAAAACCTTTGTCCTTCAGGATACTCAGTGTATATTTTTGAGATGAGGGAAAAAAATCACTTTTTTTTAATTATTTGGGGTGTTTTCATTTTCTAGATTTAAATCAAACTCCTCAGACCACGCTTCCCCAGTTATTCCTGAAAGTGGGGGAACCCTTATGGATAAGGTGCAAAGCCATTCATGTGAACCACGGATTTGGGCTCACCTGGGAATTAGAAAACAAAGTCCTCGAGGAGGTAAGGTGACAAGTTTGTGTTCTGAAAATGCAGGAACAATGAGGTAATAGCACCGCTGAGATCACTAAATGCAAACTCTGTTTTATTAACACCCAGGGCAGCTACTTTGAGATGAGTACCTATTCAAGAAACAGAACGATGATACGGATTCTGTTTGCCTTTGTATCATCAGTGGGAAGAAACGACACTGGATATTACACTTGTTCCTCCTCGGAGCATCCCAGTCAGTCAGCTTTGGTTACCATCCTGGGTAATGCAGGCTGCTCATGCAATCTTTATCCATCATTTGTAGTTGCTTTTAGTGTGGAATGTGTGGTATGTAACACAAATGCTGATTTCAATCTGATGTTACCATTAAAACACTGAAAAAGAAATTGAGTTAGAACAGTTTTTCAAAGATAAGCTGCCCACTCCTTTCCTTTCCCAGTTAAATCATACTCTCACTTGAATGCCACAGTCTTTGCATGTATCACTGTAGTGTGACCATCTGTTTGTATGCTTTTGTCCTCCAATAGTTTCCTAAGGACAGGGACATCCCTTCTATCTTTGTGGGTCCAGAGCCTGGTGCCATATAGTTTCTTAATAAATACATGTTCTAAGAACCTGCTGCCAGCCATTACTATGTAAACTGTACAAGCACTGAGCTGAATGGAAATGGGGGTGGGCTACGTAGCATTTCAAAATAATTATGCTTAAGTAATCTCGGATTAGGACGCAGACCCTAGCCAAAATGAAAATGCTAAGCAATGCAGGAATTCTCTTAGCAAACTAATAAGGAAATGTTCTGCAAGAACAATGTGTGAATATTGCCAGCCAGCTTGCTCTTTTATTTGTACCTCGAGATCATTTTTATTTGGGACCCAGGACTGAGAGACTTACTTTGGCTGAGAGCAGAGTTTTTCATTCTTTGTTCTCAGTGTATACATGTTGGGCTGGCAGTGGGGGAACCCTTCAGCTTCTTGATATTGTCTGTAAAGTCTTGTAGGTTTATTTATGTATTTGTCTAGGAAAAGGGTCAATTATTTACATCCAATTCTTTTTTTTTATAATTATTTTTAGTTGTAGATGGACACAATACCTTTATTTTTATTTATTTATTTTTATGTGGTGCTGAGGATTGAACCTAGTGCCTCACATGTGGCAGGCAAGTGCTCTACTCCTGAGCCCCAGCCCCAGTCCCTATATCAAATTCTTCAAGGAATTTTGACTCCAAAAGATTATGAGCTCAGGCTTAGAACTGGAGATAAGACTCTTCCATTTCTGAGAGTTTCAAACCTGATCTGCAGCATGCCAACCTCTGAGCTTTCTTGCATCAAATGTATGAATAAAAATTCATTTTGTCATCTCAATACATTTTCATCTGAATGCCATTATCTAATTTATAAATGCCTCTTTATTTTTCAGAAAAGGGATTTATAAATGCTACCAATTCAAGTGAAGATTATGAAATTGATCAATATGAAGACTTTTGCTTTTCTGTCAGGTTTAAAGCATACCCACAAATCCGATGTACATGGACCTTCTCTCGAAAATCATTTCCATGTGAACAAAGGGGTCTGGAAGATGGATACAGGTGAGACAACACAGCGCTCTCAGACTTACCATTATTAGCATGATTCTCCTTTCTCATTACCCTCAAGAGAAATTGTTCCCATTTTTTTCTTTTTTGAAACAGTGTCTTCTTATGTTGCCCAGGCTAACCTCCTGGGCCCACATGTACTTATGGAAGCAAATTCTCTAATTGTGAGTTTATATATAGATACATGCATATATTTATGTATTTATATTTATATATTTTTTCCCCAAAACATGCTAAGCAAATGCGCTTTTCTTTTTAGTACCAGGCGTTGAACCCAGGGGTGCTTAACCACTGAGCCATATCCCCACCCTTTTTTATATTTTATTAAGAGACAGGGTCTCCGTAAGTTGCTGAGGCTGACTTTGAACTCACCATCTTCCTGCCTCAGTCTCTCAATAAGCATGTGCTCTTACCACTGAGCTACATACACCCCTAGTCCCACAAATTTCTAAAGTTGAAATTGAAGACAAGAAAACAAAAGGCATATTGTGAGGCTATAGTAGCAATCTTACAATCACTTCAGAGAGTATAGCCCACTCTGTGAAAAACGGAATCATGTTAGTATAGTATGGTTCTGTGGCATTTTCTGAGTCATAAGACTGTTACTTCCTATTTGAGAGTACTACACTGTAGTACACCGAGTCTCCTGAGCACGCTGCAGATGACTGAGGAAGTAAAACTCCCTAAAACCAGAACCCATTGCCTATAGGTGTATTGATGTATGTTTTTAAAAAATAAATGCAGAAATAATCCAACCATAGTGTTGAAAGGAAAACTTGCTTTTCCAGAGCATTTGGGCAACCATGTTCCAGATTCTCTTACGGAAGTAATTCTTCATTCCCTCTTTAGAAAACAAAATCCTAACTTACCCACTGTGTCTTCTGTGGCTTCCATGTTTTTCTGTAACCCCTCTGATCTCTTAAAACTAAAGCGGTGTGACTAAAGCTGTGGTTCAGGTTGGGCTATGAGCAACTGAGAGGAACATGCCCTTTCTCTAACAAGACAATACTCAAGAGTAAAATCTTTGTTTATCAGTATGTGGTTTATAAACCAACTGTACAAGAATCGTCTGGGCAAATGTTTCAAAATGTGTGTTCCTTGCCTCTATTCCAGACATGCAGAAACAAAATTAGGTCCGAGTTCCCATTTTTTTTCTTTTTTCTTTTTTGAAATAGTGTCTTCTTATGTTGCCCAGGCTGGCTTCCTGGGCTCAAGCAGTCATTCTGTCTCAGCCTCCTGAGTATCTGGGACTTCAGGCCTGAGGCTGAATTTTTTTTTAAGTTTTTTTTTTTTAATATTTATTGTTTTTAGTTCGCGGCGGACACAACATCTTTGTTTGTATGTGGTGCTGAGGATCGAACCCCGGCCGCACGCATGCCAGGCGAGCGCACTACCACTTGAGCCACATCCCCAGCCTCGATGCTGAATTTTTAATAAGAACTGTTGGTAATTTTTGTGCTGTCCAGTACAGTAGCCACTAGCCACATATGGCTAGTCTAAATTAGGATGTGCCACAGCTCTAAAATACACAACAAATTTTGAAGACTTTTTGTATGAAAAATAAGAATGTAAACTACCTCATTAATTAATTTTATATTAATTACATGTAAAGATGATGATATTTTGTATATATGAAGTTAAACAAAATCAGTTTTCAGTTTAATTTTACCTGCTTCATTTTACTTTCTTTACATAGCTAAGAATTTAAAGTTGGCATATGTGTCTTGCTTTCATGGCTCACTTATTTTATTGGAGAAAGTTCTTTTCACCTTGATTCTTCTAAGTGTTTGTGTCATGGTTATTGTGCTTTTATTTATTTCTCAAATGATTTGTAACCAGTCTCTGGTCTTTGTTCAGATTTTTTTGTGTGTGATGTTGAGGATTGAACCCAGGGTCTTGCACATGGTAGCCAACCCCTCTGCTACTGAGCTATATATAAAAACCCTGTTTGGATTTTTAGAAAGAGTTGCAAATCTGAGTTTTCAAAGAAACTTTTATCTTGTTTTGCCCAAACTCTTAATATTCAAAGGATTCACTGTCAAGGTAATTAAAAATGCTACCTTTGACCTGGGAGCTGACAAATATGCATTCCCCCAGCTCAGGGTTTCTCAACAGCAGCCAGATAGTTCTTTATTTTAGAGGACACTATCCTGTGCATTATAGGATACTTACCAACATCTCTGGCCTCCACCCACTGGATGCCAGCAGCATATCTCCCTTCTCCTGGTAGTGATGACGAAATATCACTCCAGATATTACCATATGTCCCCTGGTAGGAAAAATTGCCTTTGATTGAGGAGCACTGTCTTCTAGGGATCTCCCTATCATCATGAACTCTTATTGACACCAGCACAATTATACAAGTAGCAGGTCAGAGATTCGACTCCACTCTACCCCAGTTGAGTAGATTACCAATTGCCCAATGTTCAGAAAGTTTATCAGTGTATTACTGTCCCTTCCCTTCTTTGTATTATGTGAATGCATTATCTAACAAAATGTTAGATAAGCTTCTAGCATTATGGGATTAGATTGTGAATCCCATTCAAAGAAATAAAGATCAATTCAATTTAGTTCAACAAATGTCAGTGTAATTTCTTGTTGGGTTTGATACTATTAGGAGCATCAAATTTATACAAGAGTGAATAAGGTAATATCTTTCTCCCTCTCCTCTCAAATTACACAGATTGCTGCTGTGCTAGTGACATCTTGCATAGCCTTTGAGATTTTACATAATTGTGGGTGAATCTTGTGGGCTGGTTAATGATTTCATGCGATGGCCACAATTTCCACCCCTGAACCCTAGTAGTTTTCCTACAGAGGTGCCAAATTAATGAATTGAGCAGATCCTGACTCCCATGGTGTTCCATATCTTTGTCATTCCTAATTATCTGCTAGCAGAGTTACTTCTTTGTCTATTAAATCTCACCTCTTGGATTATAATCTCCATAAGGATAGGTGCTCTGCCATTTCTCTATCTCTGTACAATGCCTTCTTCAGTAAATGTGTGTCTAGTAAATGAATGAATTCATCATCGTCCTTGGAAAGCAGCTCAAAGTACGCAATCTGGGACAAAGATGAGTCAATGGCATCTTCTTTGTACTACAGGGACCACAAGTGGCACTGACCACAACACTCAGTCTTTCTTTGATTTAAAAATACTCAAAGAGGCTACAATGTTTTTTTAGTGCTCTGGAGGTGCCAGATAATATGGGCCACTGAATACCCAAGGCAAAGGAAAGATGCTCAAAATGACTGAACAAAATCTGAACAATGGAAAATTTGAGCACGTCTCTGAGCGTTCTGGGTGTCTTTTCCTCTCCACATCATGGTCTAAATTGAGATTGAGTTATTTTCATCTTTTGATGATAAAAAGTTTCACATTTACTAATTAGCCGAAAGAACAGTGCCGTGAGCATCCTTAACCCAATTTAATGGAATTGAACGTGGATGGTGAAGTGTCCTGTTTTAATCGTGTTGCAAGAGATGATTTTATTGGCAAAGAGACATGAGTTTTTAAAATCTGTAACTGAAAGCCCAAGTAACAACATGACTCCTGCAGAAGGTTTGGTGTGGTCGTGGCGTGTGTGCCAGAAGTCCGTCAGCTTCCCCACCTTCACAGCTTCATTTCTCCAATTTACTTCCTCAAATATTGCCCCCAGCGCTCAGTAGGGCTTGCTTTTGTGTGTCTGCATTTGATGAAATTGTAATTTTCCAGCTGTCCTGGCATCCTGGTCTTGACAAAAGCATCCAGGATATTTCACCTGTTGTTTGGCATAACCTCCTACCTATAACCTTCATCATAAACACCAAATCTATGTTAGTTTATTCCAGTTTCTTGGTTAAAAAAGAAAAACTTATATTAGATCATTGTAATTATATAGGAATCTCTTCTGAAAGACTCTTCTTTAGCCTGGCCCAAGTCTTGAGTTTTCCTTGTCCCTGAAATATCTCATCTTTCTACTCTGTGAATCTCAGTTCTGCCTACCCCTCCTACCCCCATCCCAGGCAACAACTGCAGTGTGACAACTTCTAGGTAAACAGCAGGCTGACGGTCATGTGGGTTCTGGATGATGAACCAGGGCCTGCTCTAGAGAAGCAAGGGCAAACTGAAAAGCAGGCTCTCAAAAACAGTGAATGGTATGTCCCTGCAGAGGCTGAGAGAACCTGTGGAAGAATGTTTTAAATATTTTTGGTACAGGAGGTGAGCCTGAATGTGTACAGGGAGAAGATGTTTGGGCCTAGTCAAGTACCAAGCGCTCCCAACTAAGTCCTGTTCCCTTTTACTTCTGCTCTTTGTCACTGTGAGCCTGGGTCCCTTTTTCCCCAAAGACCCCACTCAGTTTTAAGTTCTCAGTCACATCCTATGAAGCCACTTATTAAAACTGAAAGGTACTTTGAACTTTTACCTCATGCCAGACAATGTGCAGAGTATATGGGTTACCTTATTCAATCCTAATTGTCCCATTTTTAAAAAGATGGAAACTGAGGCTGTTACCTACCCAGTCATATAAGGCAAAATCACTACCATTCACTGACTCTTGTTTTGTGAGATTGCCTTTAATAAAGTAGAAATACCAGCCATGATTCTATCTCCAGAGATAATATATTTTTTTACTTTTTCTATGTAACCATCATGGTAGAAGTGTAAAGTATAGATTTTTGTACAAACATGAAATCATGTCATTTGTAATATGATTTTTCATATTTAAAAATATCGTAAGTATTTTATGTTAATAGTTGTATTATTATACTACATCATTGTTTTCAATGGCTGCATAGTATTTTACATCTTAGAAATTTTTAAACTACTCCTGTTTATGGGCATTGACTTTAGTTTTTTTCTCCCCTTACATCTTCCTTTTATTTTAATGTGGTTTGCACACTTACTGTACATCCTAGAGTAAAACTTCTCACTGCCTTTTTTCTCCCCTCTCCCGTACTGGGCATTGATACCCAGGGCCTGGCACACGTTAGGTAAGCACTTTATACAACTGAGTTACATCAGCTCTTACATTTATTTTTTATTCAAAATGATTACTAGGTATAACGAGCCACACATACAAAAAGTGCTTTTTTGAAAATTTCTCTTCCAATGAGCAAATGAGATAAATACTATTTTAATCTTTCATTTTACAGATGAGGAAACTGAGTTGCCTAAGTTCACAGCACCAGGTAATAGCAGTGTTGGGATTCCAGCAGAAATAGTGAGCTCTGATGTCTGTGGTTTTAGTCATTTCTCTATAAGGCCTCTTGACACAAACTCATTTCAAAAATGTGAGGCTCTCAAACCCAGTGTATAAGAAAACAGAAATACTCTGGACCTGGGGACGTGTGTAGGTTGGTGGTAGAATATTTGCCTAGTGTGTATAAGGCTCTGGGTTTCACCCCCAGCACTGCAAAAAAGAAAAAAAAAAGGAAGGAAGAAAGAAAAAACAGAGATACATATATGTTCTTTGGTTATTGAGAAAATAAAAGTGTTTTTAACCTGCATGGGATGTGCCATCTTTTGCTATCGAATCTTTAATGGTTGTACACCAGGCTTGTGGGCATCTCTGAATTGAAATTTAAAATGAGCATGGTATTGTACAGAGAGCTATGAAATCATCAGCACCCCCCGACACCCCCACCGTCTTCATCTATCTCAGAACAGAAATTTGAACAGAGCAGATCTTACTACAGCCAAGCTGGGGGAACTCTGGCCAGGCTGTGTTCAGGCCTTCCACTCTGTAGCCTGAGGTTAGATGAGGTCTCCAGGCTTCCTGATCCACCGTCTTTCCTTATCCATCATCTTTCTGTGTTGTGGAAAGCCACCTTCAATCTTGTCACCCCTTCCTTCTGCACTTTCACAAGCTCTCAACTTCACCAGTACATTCTTTATTAGTTAATCTCTGTCCTCTGGTTTGACTTTGACTCTTGCTCGTTAAATAAATCTTTTTTTTTTTTTAACCCAATAGTAAAATTATTCTCTGAAGCTCCTAGAAAGAGCTTGCCATTTCTCAATTCCTCCCCTCTGGGCACTAAGTAGAAAATAAAATGACCTAAATCTGATGACAGAAGAGAAAACCTTTTCATAGTTGTATTAAGCATACATCTTATTAGTCTCCAAGGTATTGTTTCACTGTGAACTCAAATTTCCTGATCTCCTGTCCATGCAAGACAGGCCATTTTTAGAAAAACCCTCGGGGGAGGAGGAAGCTTTGGCTCTCCCAGACATCTAATTGGTTATTCCCCTTGGGATTCCCAGGTTCAGCCACACAGTTGTTGCTAGGGTTGGCTGTTAGAAAGGAGAGGGAAAGAGCAGTTTCAAACAACCCAGAGATTCAGTTTTGTGTTCCCGTTATTTACATGATTATTTACATGGAAACGGTTCAAAAGAGTGAAAACATTTCAGGTGCTATCTCTGTGCAAACCACACTCCATGAAAACAACACAAAAGACTGAGGAGAAAAATGTTCACAAAACTTTTCGCTTTGGTCCTCTTAATGATAAATAGTTGGATTGGTCATTGCTCTTTCTGCCAATTGACTCTTTCTGTGGCATGGTCCTTGGCTAGCCACATGGAGTTCTCTTTTTCTCTTTTCCATCCTTCTTCTTCCCTATCTCTATCCCTTCCTTCCTTTCGTTTTAAAAATCTCCTTTCTCCTTCCTTTTCAAGGTCTTTAGCCATTGCTCTGAGAGAATTACATTTTCCCTTTTAGAAGCTCATATCTTTTCTTGGACTATTGAAACGCTGCCTTCCTGAAGTTTAGGAATCACATGGTACCTAGATTTCCTCTTCTCCCCCGTAGGCTTCATGTGACTTTCCCGCCAATCTTTCTGTCACTTCCACTTCACCCTTTCTTCCTTGTGGTCCAGTAGTAGGTCAGAGCTGGATACGGCGGTACACGCTTGTAATCCCAGAGACTCAGGGGGCTGACGCAGGAGGATCACAAGTTCCAAGCCAACTTGGGCAACTTAGTGAGACCCTATCTCAAAATAAAAAGGGTTCGGAATGTAGATCAGTGGTAGAATGCCCCTGGGTTCAATCCCTAGTACCAAAGGGAAGGAAAGAAGGAAAGAAGGAAAGAAGGAAAGAAAGAAAGAAAGAAAGAAAGAAAGAAAGAAAGAAAGAAAAAGAGAGAGAGAAGAGGAAAGAAAGAGAGAGAGAAAGAGAAAAGGTCAGGTCAAGAAACATTTTTTATGCACTGGTCTTCTTGTTAACAAAGCATCTAAAAACTTGTCAAGTGCTCATCAATTGCTGGAAACTTTTGATGGGGAAATGAATCCTTTCATCACTAGACAGAGTTGTTATTCCACTCAGGAGTTAAGGGCACCCAACATCAGTGTCAGATCAGCATGGGCTCAAAAGCTGTCACTAACCAGATAGCTGTATGTTTCGAATCATAGGGATCAACTGGGATTCTATTCTTGCCTCCTTTTTCTTCATCCAATTCAGGACCTGCCATTTTTTTTTTCCTGGTGCCTCTTGGGTTTGCTCTTCTTTCCCATCTTCCCTACCTTAGATGACATTTAGTCTGTCATGTTCCGAAACCCCAAATCTGAACTTTTACTTCTCCTATTGTAGAACTTCCCACACTCTACCGTAACTGCTTCTTTTCTTGTTTGCTTTTACCACCAAACTGTAAAATACTGAGAACAGAAACCCATTTTTTTTTCAAACATCTTGTTGTATCCTTAATTCCTTCCACAAAATAGGGTCCACCACTGACCGTTGAATGAATAAATTCCTAGATTTTTACTACTACCTCCAGACTTTCCTCCAGTGAACCCTTCCTCCTGCCGTCAAAGGAATCTTTCATGATATTCACCTTCTCCTCATGGATCCCAAACGCCTTCCTCCTGTTTTCTCCATCAAGTCTACATTAGGCTTCTTTTTCAAGGTCCCCAATCAGTTGGCCCCATTCCATCCACTTTGCCCTCATCTCTCCGACAGCCCAGCATATCCCCTGCTGCCGTCAAGAGTCTCCTGTTCCCCTTACGTGTAGCCCTGTGAGTTCCTGTCTCCGGCCTTCAGTCACAGCCTCGCCTCCTTCTTAGACCTCTTTTTCTTATCCTCTTATCTAAACCAGCTCATCTGGCGGTGGGGGTGCCCCTCAAGCCCTGCTTCTGTGAAGCCCACTGAACTTCTCTCATTACACTGACCTCTACTCCATTGATTGTCTACATATCTTCAGTTTAATGCTTTAACTGTTCCATGTATGTAGGTTTTTACCCACTTTCTATTTTTAGGATAGGAGTTGAAATAATTTGGATCTTAAATGTCCCCAAAGGCCCGTGTGTTGGAATCTTGTTTCCTGGAGTGGTGCCACTTGAAGAGGTAGGGCCCAGTGGGAGGTCTTCTGGTCACTGGGAGTGTGCCCTTGAAGGGGATACTGGGATCCCTGCTCCTTTCTCCTCTTTTCTTTCACTTCTTAGCCAACAGATAAGTGGTTTTGGTACACTATACACTCCTGCCATTATGTGCTGCCTTGCCACAGGCCCAAGAGCAAGAAGGCCAACCATTCAAGGACTGGGACCTACAAGCCTATGAACCAAAATAAACCTTCTCTCTTTATAAGTTGACTTATCTCAAGTATTTGTTATAGTGATGGGAAACTGACTAAACACAAGATCTATATTTTGAGGTCTTTTGCATCCTACACAGCTCCTCGATTCAGGCTGTCTTCCATTGCAGATCTTCTTGCTCACCTTTTCGTCCTGTCCATTCTGTACATGGTCTTTTTTTTTAAACTTCAAGTTATCTTTGGTCTAATTAATATCTTTTTAAAGGCCTTAATATTTCCTATTCCTTGTTAAGGGAATTTATTTGTCTGTTTCTCTAGTTTTGTTACAGTGGATGCATGAAACCATATTTAATAGACTATAGCCTTCCTGTTCTCATACACTGTCCAACATCCCCCACGATAACCTCCAACAGCACACAGTACTAGTAGACATGGCAAATAAGCCCCAATATCAAGTTAGGCATGACAAAAGGTAGTGAATGCTTAATGAGCATTCCAAGTAGGTATTAGAGGCTATGGAAGCCATCAAATTCTTCTGTATAAAGTCAGTGAATTTGAGTCCTCAACACTGTAATTGCTGTGTAAATCAAGGGCTGGTCATGGGTTCTGCCTTGGATCATCATCAGCAAATCAATCATTTCAGGAAGCAGGAAAACTCATCCCCCTGCAGAAGTCTTTCTTTGGGGGTAGTCAGACTGTCCAGAATGTATAGAACAATAGGGACAGTTGTTTCTCTGAAGACCCCCCAGCCAGCCCTAACCCTTATTGGGCATATGAACTACATGGAGATCATCTTAAAATATAGATTTTGAGTTCCTAAGTTTAGGGTGAGTTCCAAATTTTGCATTTCTATAAAGTTCCTAGATGATTCTGTATGCTGAGGCTGAGATTACCTGTCTATGGACCATCCTTTGAGTAGCAAGGGTCTAGAATACAGATACCTCCTTGTCCAGGAAACTTGGGAATAGCCTTGCAGAAGACTCTTCCCATGCATACCATCTTTCACTGTAGCATCTACTGTAAGAATAAGGCTAAATCTATATTTAATTCTTTCTCAAACAGCATATCTAAGTTTTGCAACCATAAACACCAACCAGGAGAATATATATTCCACGCAGAAAATGATGATGCTCAGTTCACCAAAATGTTTACGCTGAATATAAGAAGTAAGTTTATATTGCCAAGAATTTTATTTTTGTGTTCTCACTATTTTATTCACTAATAATATTAATCAGAAAGATCCAGGTCATGGCTTAAAAGGGATACTATAGAACTGTTTTTGAATGATGAAGTATTTTGGAATTTTACTCTCTTATCTACTGGTTTTGGTTACCAGTAGCTAAAAGATTTACTTAGAAAGGTTACTTAGAAAGGTTACTTAGAAACTAAAAGATTTATTCCATATCCTTTCTGCATGTGCTTTTAGTGTTTGACTTTTTTTTTTTTTTTTGTACCAGGGATTGAACCCAGGGGTGCTTAACCACTGAGCTTATATCCTCAGCACTTTTAAAATATTTTATTTACAGAAAGGGTCTCACTGAGTTGCTTAGCTTCTCTAAGTTGCTGAGGCTGATTTTGAATTTGCAATCCTCCTGCCTGAGCCTCTTGAGCCACTGGGATTACAGATGTGCACCTGACTAGTGTTGTGACTTTGTTGACTTTTTACTACTTTGAAAGGTCATATTAAGGAAAAGACAAATCATTATTTTGAAGACAAATCATTTATTTGTTTTAATAATCTTCATTTTAATAATCTTCATTTCTTTGGTCTATAAGAAGATAAAAGTAAAGTGAAAGAAAAAGAAAATAAAAGATGCAAGAGTACATTTCACTAGACTTTTTTCAGATGTTCTTCTGAAACTAAGAATGATTTAGAGGTGTGCAGATAGATAGAGGAGAGCCGAAAAGGTGGAAAGCGGTGCTCAGCAGAGAGGCCTTGGGCCTGTCTGTCAGAATGGCAGGGTATGTGGGGGTGGAGGTGGGGATGGGGGGAATTCTTGAGGTATCCTGAATGAGAAACCTCCCAGAAGCGCAACTGCAGTAGAGTAATGAGCCATTTCTGGAAAGTACCATACTCCATAAGCTTATTTTACTTGTCATTCTCTACAGGGAAACCTCAAGTGCTAGCTGAAACATCAGCTAGTCAGGCGTCTTGCTCTTCGGATGGATATCCATTACCCTCTTGGACGTGGAAGAAGTGTTTGGACAAGTCTCCCAAGTAATGAGAACCTTGACATCTCTTTTCATGGAAGAACCTAAAACTCTGACATCTTGGCTCTTTTTCAAGGATACAACTTCAGAAGAAATACTGACATATTTTAAATGCTTACTTTCATAGTTCTCCATGGCCATAGATTGTTTCTGATAACTTATAATAGATAAATCACTTTTAGAACTTGCTGCAGAAACCCCGACTTCCACTCTTACAACACAGTCGTGCCTGTCTTAACTTCTCTGTCTGCCATTTCTTTTCAGCTGCACTGAAGAAATCACAGAAGGAATTTGGAATAAAAAGGCTAACAGGAAAGTGTTTGGACAGTGGATATCCAGCAGTACCCTAAACATGAGTGAGGCTGTAAAAGGGTTCCTGGTCAAGTGCTGTGCGTACAATTCCATGGGCACATCTTGTGAAACAATCCTTTTAAACTCACCAGGTATGGGAATGGTTGCTATTGTGATATCCCACCACCTGGAATTCCCCATTAGAAGTTAGTCCCAGTGGCTGACTTTTACTGGGGGAATTTTACAAGAGAGCACAGGTTCAGTGTGTGAGTAAAGAAGGCTTTTTGAGTCAGGCAGGAATCCCCACTGACATTCACTGTACTGTTTTGCATTTCGGGACAAAGTTCTACCTACATTATTATGACTCAAAAGTTAAAGTGATGTAGAGAACCATAAACTCCCCATATGATGCATGTTTACCAAAAGATCCAACTGTAGCAAAGCAGTTTAAGTAATTTGGGGTCTCTTTAATTTTCTCTTTTATTAATCTCCTTATTTACCTTTAGCCTGCTGTTTTGTGATTTTTGTTTTTTAGAGCTCTCCAAAATGAAACACTACTAGTTTAGAATCACCAGCATCACAGAACCAAGTTCTCCCCATTCATGTGATATGTTCACAGAAGGAACGCAGACCTAATTTGTTTTTTTTTTAATTTGACTTGCACATTCTGTGGGATACAACCCTAGTAAATGATTTTTTAAAAATCAGCTCAGAATCACTTAGGATTTTCTAGGAAGGAAACTTATCCTTTATAGGAAGATATCTGATTTTCTCTGGGGAGGAGAGTATTCACAGAGTGTTTGCAAGGACTGAAAATAGTGGTTACTCAAACAGGATGTGAGAGATTATAATGAGCAGTCTACTATTTATAGTAGCAAACAGGAATTCTGTTTCATTGCTTAGTGACACTCCTCTGTTGCAGGCCCCTTCCCCTTCATCCAGGACAACATCTCATTCTATGCAACGATTGGGCTTTGTCTCCCCTTCATTGCCGTTCTAACCATATTAATTTGTCACAAGTACAAAAAGGTAAAAGAAGGGGTAACAATTCATTATTGTTTCCCATATCTGCAGAACTTTGGATTGCTCACTGACTCATTATTTCGTCTCTGAAGCAATTTAGGTATGAAAGCCAGCTGCAAATGGTACAGGTGACCGGCTCATTGGACAATGAGTATTTCTACATTGATTTCAGAGAATATGAGTATGACCTCAAATGGGAGTTTCCAAGAGAAAACTTAGAGTTTGGTAAGAATTGAATGTTCCAGAGACTTCTATAGCATTTCCTTTTCTTCGGAAAACCTTTCAAATGAACTGACTTCCAGTGTATCTTTGCAGGGAAGGTACTAGGATCCGGTGCTTTTGGGAAAGTGATGAATGCCACAGCTTATGGAATTAGTAAAACAGGAGTCTCAATCCAAGTTGCAGTCAAAATGCTGAAAGGTACGGTATGTGCAGTGGAAGGGGATCAACAAAGATGCACAAAGGTGGGAGCCAGTTTTCCACTCACCTCTTCTCCTCTTTTCTATCATTTTTATAGTTCGCCATACATCAGGGTTAAAAAGGAGTGGGTGGTTGTTAGGATCAACCATGCTATAAATATAAAATACAAGTCACGAATACAAAGCTCTACTTCTTCTTCCTCTTCTCTCTTTGTTTAGTTTTTATTGGGTTCAGTATGTGGGGATACAGTCACTGCAGGCAGAAGTTGTTTTTTCCATTTTGACATAGATTCTGGGTAGAAGAGCAAATTGGGGCCCTCTATCTCTTCACTTCCCATTCATTGCTCCTTCCAGTCCAATCTGGCCTCCACCCCTCTCTCCTCTTACCACTGCTCACTCAGCAGAAGTCTCCCCAGCTGGCTCTCTTGCTAAGATGGACAGTGACCTCTGAAGGGGTAAAGGGAAAGAGCTCTCCGCCACCTTCTGAAGGTTCACTGAAATAACCAGATTAACAGGAGGAAAAGGCACACAAACTTATCAATGCACATGGGGAAATCTCACTACAGCAAGCTTAACAAAGCACACACCTCCAAGAAAGGCCAGGTGGTTGAAGCTTATATGCCATTCTGAGTGACAGAAAGGAATAGAAGCTTGGATTTCCTGGAGTACGGTGAAGACAAGTTACAGGAGACGGGAAGGAAGAAATGCACTGTGTGTGTGTGTGTGTGTGTGTGTGTGTGTCTGTCTGTCTGTCTGCCTGCCTGTCTTATGGACATAAAGCCTCTTAGGTTACAGTCCTCAGGACAATACATCAAACTCTCTCTGGGTAGGTTGCCCTGAGCATGGAGACTTTTAGTCTTGTCTTTCCTGAGAGGTAATCTTTCCTGGCTAAGGAGATTTCATAGGAATTACATTCCTTCTTGGAAGAGAACTTCTCTCAGTTAGGTAAGGGGATTTCAAAAGGCCCTTCTCTGCATTGTGGGAGAAGAAGAGGATTAAGAGGCAGCTCTGTGAGGGAGGGAGGCATGAATGTGCAGGGAGACCTTGAAGCTGCTCCTTCAGCCCCAAGTTGCCACTCTTTGGGGTTCAAGTTAGTGTTCTCTGAGCCTCAACACCTCCAAACAACTAAGTCCAATGGGCCTTTAAGTCTTCATGTCTTCAACATACATTGTCATATTATTGACCATCTGTCCACTTCAAAATGCTTTCTTCCTTGGCTTCTTGGTTGCTATCTTCTTCTGGATTTCCTCCTGCTCCTCTGACTCAGTGCTTTTTTGGCTCAGCTTCTTCCATCCAGCTTTTGATGCAGAGTGGCTTGCTCCTGGTCCCCCTCCCATTCCACCCCACATTTTCACTGGTGCTGATCTCCACCACACCCCTAGCCTCCCATCTCTCTTCTGAGCTTTAGGCTCCTGTGTCCAAATGCTCAGATGTCTCAAAAGCCCCTCTAACCCAGCTCATCCCAACTGAATCCTCCAACCCTGGCCCTCCATCAATACTCCTTCCTCTTACTGATTAGTATTGGGTGCCAGAGGAGCCACATTCCACAGGATTGGACACACCACAACCAGGACCCAGCCTGAAACTGTCTTCTAACACCCCAGATTGATTCCTATCAGGTTTCCTGCTTACTGTCTATTGGATCCATCTTCTCTCTATTTCCACTCTAGTCTGATTCTGTCCCTCCTGAACAGTGACAACAACCTCTATCTACTCTTACCTCCTTTTGGATTCTCTATGCTGAAGTCCAAGTGATGGACACTCAAGGAGATCATATCATTTTCATGCCTAACATTTCTAGTGGCTTTCAGTTGTTCTCAAAATGATCCACACAGCCTTGAGGAATGTGTTCACTGCTCAGCCTCTCCACCTCTGGCTCTCAGCCCACCAGCAGGCGGACCTTCTTTCATTCTTCACAGCACCACACTCTCTCCCACCTCAGGGCCTTCACACAGGCAGATCCTTCCGCTTGCCCTTCACCTTGCTCTTAGGTACCTCCAACTCCCGCTTCACTCTCAACTTAAACCACTCCCTCGGGGAAGCCGTATTTCACAACACAGACAAGATCAAGTCCCCTGAGGCTGGGGGTGTAGTTCAGTGGTAGAGCACTGGTTGGCATGCATGAAGCCCTGGGCTCAATCTCCAGCACTGCCTCCCCCCACCCCACCCCCGCCCCCGCCAAAATCAAGTCCCTTGCAATATGTTACCTGAGCTCTCTGTAGACTTTTCTCATAGAATGTATTACAATTGTGATAATATTTTTGTTTAATTATTCAGTTATGGTCCTATCTGCCACATTAGTCCATCAGCCTCACTAAGGCGTCTGTTTGGCTCTTCTTTTTTGACCTTTGCACTTCTGTCACTTCAATCTGCAGTATTCTTCACCCCCCCAGTCCCCTCCACTGTAGTTTCACATGGCTACCTCCTGTTTTTCTCTAGGTCTCTGTTTAGGCATCTGGTGCCCTTTTCCATACCCCTCTGGGGCTTTGTACACTGCCCCTCTTGTGTGACCCCCACAGCACTCAGCATTCATTTGTCACGTGTCATTCATTGTACTAAAGTTATCCCGTGATATCCATGGGGAATTGGTTCTAGGAATCTCTGAGGGTACCAAAATTCTAGATGCTCAAGTCCCTTAAATAAAATGGGGTAGACTAATACACAGCCTTTAAAGTACTGGCTTTAAATCACCTTTAGATGACTTACAGTACCTAATACGATGTAAGTGCCGAGTAACTAGTCTGTATAGAGACACCTTTTCCACAAATGTTTTTGATCTGTGGCCATTCGAATCCGGGGATACTCCCTATGGAGGGCAGACTGCATATTTTAATAGCTTATTTACTCGCCTCCCCTTTCCAGGAGACTCTAAGTGCCAGGAAGACAGAGGTTGTGCTTCAGTAATCTTTCATTCCCCAGTGTTGGCATGTGGCCTCACACACAATGGGTGCTAAACAGATACTTATTTAACAAATGAATGAATGGTAATAGTATATGAATGTGCTTTGAAAAAGATAAGCATGTCATAAAATATGTTACTGTCAGTCTTGATGGTGCATTCCCATAATCCCAGGGACTAGGGAGCCTAAGGCAGGAGGATTTTGAGTTCAAGTCCAGCCTCAGCAATTTATTGAGACTTTGTCTTAAAATAAAAATAAAAAAGGGCTAGGGGTGTCGCTCAGTGGTAGACACATGGACATGGACGGTTTAGTCACAAATTCCTGTAAAGCGTGAAGTAGCTGAAGATGTGCTGTGCTATCGGGTCTCAGGAGGGTCTGACTACAAAGTCAACATCTTGAAGTCAAGCGCACCCCTGAGAGCTCACTTATGTCAAAATAAATGATGTCAACACTGGAGTGTATTCCAGGACTAAATAATGGGACCTGGAAATTAGATCAGACTTTAGTTTAAATGTAAAGAAAAGTTCCTGTTGCTGTAAGAAAGGATGTGTTAGAGGAGCCAATGCCTGGAGCCTGGAGTAGCAAGTCCAAAGACCCTGTCCTTGCCCCTGGTGCTCCTGGTGCCCTGAGCAGCTACACATCAGCCTCAGTGACAGGAGCCCTTTGAGTTCATCAATAACTGCCCTCACGATGTGCCCAAGCAAGGCTTATGTGTGTACTTTGTCAAGCTGTCTGGACTTCTCTCCAGGGAGAGAATGTATTGGCCAACTGACACAGGCTAGTGTGCATGGCAGTGACGTTCCTCATCATCAACTAAAGACTCTTGAGAACTCCATTAGTAGGAATGAGTCCTCTCGGACCTCCTCTTATTGGGCTTACTGACAAATGGAAGATTCCAGACCTGAGAACCAGGACCAGAGGCTAGAGACAACTGTCTTTGCTGATACTGTTAGTCTTTCAATGACTTGAACAAATCCAGGAGTCAAAACAAATAAATACATACAAAGTATGTTTCTCCCTTCAGCTTATTGTTTATCTCTACTATGCAGGAAAATCATGTGTTACTAACATTTTACTTGGTTGTATGTTTTGGGGGACAACCAAGGATTTTTGTAAATCTAGGTAAAAAGACTGTGTGTTGGGGGCTGCTGATGCAGGGGATTGAATCCAAGTCCTCATGCAGGCGAGGCGTGTACTAGGCAAGTACTCTACCACTGAGCCCTGAGCCGTATCCCTAGCCTGGAGAGCCATATTATTATATTCAACATTTGTACCATAATCTTGAAATTTTGTTTGAAGACATAACATATTATTATTCAAAATTCATGTATTGTTTTGATGTCTCTTTTTCTCTTGGTTTTGAATTTAGATAGGTAATAAAATCATCTCTGCACTGGGGAAATTTTTAATGTATTAAACAACATAAAATTACTGTTTTACTTGAGTTTGACATTTTGTTATTCCTCCATTGACAGAAAAGGCTGACAGCTCTGAAAAAGAGGCACTCATGTCAGAACTCAAAATGATGACTCACTTGGGACATCATGAGAACATTGTGAATCTGCTGGGGGCATGTACACTGTCAGGTAATCAGTTTCCACCAAGACACCTAATGCAAAATAGTTTAGCCTGAAGACCAAAAAGACATTTGTTCTCATTATTTTTTGCTCTTTTCTCACACTTAGTGTAGGCCCCCATTTCAAGTGGAATTAGACATTGAGCACTCCATTTTTTCAAATGGGTGAACATAATGAATACCCCTTTTGTATCTGATCCACTGGGATATGTCACATAAAAAATCTAATATGCTTAGAATCAACTATCCTGCAAGTACATTTTTTGGTGTGCATACTTCTCTCCCCAGCTGTGGAGCTGGCATAAATGTAGTGGAGAAAAGAGGTACAGAGCTTGGCCAGTGCTTCCAGTAGGCTGCTTTCAAACAAGTCACAGTCAAGGTGGGGTTTGAAACTTTATCTTCACAGAATTCTTGAGGTCATGGTCTCTAATTCTCTCATGTCTCTCTGTGAATAGTCAAACATTGTACCCAAGGGTGGTTCTTTCTGGGACAGCAGGGCTGGGGCTAGAAGTAAAAGAAGATGAAAATGAGAAAATGGACCTAAGAGAGGACTGGAAACATATTTCTCTTTCCTCTGGCAAACAATAAATCAGCATATATTTTTAAAATTTATATGACAGCAGAATGCATTACAATTCTTATTACACATTTAGAGCACAATTTTTCATATCTCTGGTTGTATACGTAGTATATTCATACCCATTTGTGTCTTCATACCTGTACTTTTTAAAAATTTATTTATTTTAATTAATTTATTTTTGCATACAATTCTTTATACACCATTATACAATAATTTATCATATCTCTGTTTATATATAAGGTATGTTGACACCAAATTCACATCTGCATACATGTATTTTGTATAATGATGAGGGTCTCCTTTCAATATCCATGCTATTCCCCTTTTTCTTCCCTTTCCCTCCCACCCCTATTCCCTATCTAGAGGTAATCTTCCTCCCTTGCTCTCCCTCCTGACCCCATTTTGAGTCACCCCCCTTATATCAGAGAAGACATTTGGCATTTGTTTTTTTGGGATTGGCTAACTTCACTTAGCATAATCTTCTCTAATGCCATCTATTTCCCTGCAAATGCCATGATCTTATTCTTTTTTATTGCTGAGTAATATTCCATTGTGTATAAATGCCACATTTTTTTTTATCCATTCATCCACTGAAGGACATCTAGGTTGGCTCCACAGTTTAGCTATTGTGAATTGTGCTGCTATAAACATTGATGTGGCTGTGTCCCTGTAATATGCTGCTTTTAGGTCCTTTGGGTATAGTCCAAGAAGAGGAATCACTGGGTCAAATGGTGGTTCCATTCCCAGTTTTCCAAGGAATCTCCATACTGCTTTCCAAATTGCTGCACCAATTTGCAGTCCCACCAGCAGTGTATAAGTGTACCTTTTTCCCCACATCCTCGCCAGCACTTGTTGTTGTTTGTCTTCATAATGGCTGCCACTCTTACTGGAGTGAGATGGTATCTTAGAGTAGTTTTAATTTGCATTTCTCTGATTGCTAGAGATGATGAGCATTTTTTCGTATATTTGTTGATTGATTGTATATCCTCTTCTGAGAAGTGTCTGTTCAGGTCATTGGCCCATTTATTGATCGGATTAATTTTTTTTGGTGCTTGTCTTGTTGAACTCTTTATATACCCTAGAGATTAGAGCGCTATCTGAGGGGTAAAAATTTGTTCCCAGGATGTAGGCTTTCTATTCACCTCACATATTATTTCTTTTGCTGATAATAATGGTCATCACATTCCACCATCATTAATAACCCCATGCCCCCTCCTGTCCCCTCCCACCCCTCTGCCCTGTCTAGAATTGGTCTATTCCTCCTATGTTTCCTATCCCTATCCCACTATGAGTCAGCATATATTTACTAAGTATGTTAGTCAGCTTTCTATCACTATGACAAAATACCTGAGATAATTTAAAAGGAGGAAAATTTTATTACAGTTCATGATTTCAGAGGTTTCATTCATGATCTCTTGACCCTGTCAGTTTGGGTCTGTGGTGGCCTAGTGCAAGATGGTAGGAATGCAAGATGGAGGAGGCCTGTTCACTCTTGGTGACTGGGAAACAAAGAAAGAGATTTAGCTTGATATTTCCAAGGCCATTTTCTGTTATATGTAGTAGTATTTTCATTGCTGGGAAACATTTCATTGTATGGATAGACCACAATTTTTAGATCTATATCCCTCTTTCCTTGGTCTTAGCATAAATAATAGTGTTTTGAGAAATTATGAATAAAGTTTCTATAAACATTCTTGTAAAAAAAAGAGAAGGAGGAGAGAAAGAGAGAGAGGTAGGAAGGGGCCCCAGTCCTGCACCCCATTTACCCAAATTTCTCCAACTAAGCTCCACGTCCAAAGATTACACCACTTCCCAATAGCACTGTTGTCTAGGTATCAACCTTCAATACATGGGCCTTTCAAGAATGTTCAAGATTCAAACTAGCATGCCAAGCAAGTGTTCATAATACAGTGGGCATATATTCCCCATTGCAAAGTGGAGAAGCCAGGAGGCCAGTGGTTTTGGTGAAGCCAAAACCAAGACAGTCTATTTGGCTGTCGAGGAGATACTAATTTCCAAAAAAGTTTAGGCAGAAAGCTAAAATTGAGTTTAAGATATAAGAAGAGATAGGCTTGCCCAAAGTTGGAGGAGAACTGAGCTCTCACAGAGTATGTTGTATGTTGTGCAGATTTCTGAAAAAACAATATGGCGTTTGTACATCTATAATTAAAACTGTAACTATTTCAGGACCAATTTACTTGATTTTTGAATACTGTTGCTATGGTGATCTCCTCAACTATCTAAGAAATAAAAGAGAAAAATTCCATAGGACATGGACAGAGATTTTCAAGGAACACAATTTCAGTTTTTATCCCACTTTCCAATCACATCCAAATTCCAGGTAAGAAGCGGGACCAAGGTTTCATTATTATACAGGACATAGAAAAGGTGTGATGGATAAATACTCTTCAGTAGCCAGTTTCTAAAGGCACTGTGTGATCCAGGAGTCTAAGACAAGTCACTTATCTTAGATCTAGAGTGGTCCCCCATTATCTGTTGTTTTGCTGAAAGAAGCTTCAATTACGCTTAGTCAACTGCAGTCCAAAAATATTAAATGGGAGAAAGTCCAGAAATGAACAAATCAATCAGTATTAAATAATTTTATTAAAGTATATTGTTACAATTGTTCTACTTTGCAATTATTGTTAATATTTTACTATGCCTAATTTATAGATTAAACCTTATCATAGTCTTGTAGGTATAGGGAAAATGTAGTATATATAGGGTTTGGTACTATCTGTGCTTGTAGGCTTCTACTAGTGGTCTTGGAATGTATGCCCCAACTGCTGCTGTAGTCTCCCTGTTGATTTGAAACCATAAGACCTTTCCTTTCCTTCAGTGCAGTTACTGTTGAGCCAGTCCCTTTCTACCTGCCTAAATCATATCCTAGAAACCCTTGGTTTTGAGAAAGGTTCATAATCCAATCTTTTAGGTAGAAAGAATGAAGACCTTTTCCAATGTCCTTGGCATACTCATAGAAAATAGCTCAAGTCCTGGGACTGTTGCACAAAAGGGATCTAAACTCATAAATTGGGTTTTAAAATGTTAAGATGGATTCATTGGCATATCATGGGAACATAAACTAGTGGTCACTTTGTCTCTGTGCTCTGTGTTGTATATCCTGCCACCTGTGTGGATCCTGAGTGATTCTTGATCCTGATGGAGTTATTGTTTAAGTATGCATAAATGAGTCTTTAGGAGTTTGGTGGCATGCTCCTCAGCCTTGAAATTTTTGGCTGATGACCTGCATCACAGCGTTACAGCAGCTTTATCTGAACTGATCCATAGGCATTCTTCCACCCACAATGCATTTTTTTAAAATTTTGTTGTTGTTGTTGATGGACCTTTAGTTTGTTTATTTTTATGTGGTGCTGAGAATTGAACCCAGTGCCTCACACATGCTGGGCAAGTGCTCTACCACTGAGCCCCCACAATGCATTCTTTTTCCTCTGCGTAGGTGAAAGCTCTTCCTTATTCTGAAGGTAGAATTACTTGTCAGAGACTTTTCTCTTTTGGGAGTCTCTTGAGAATGAGCGGAGATTCCCAAACTTTAAGCTCTTACATGGAGATACAACATCTTAAAACCACAGAGCCCCATAAAGATCCCCATACATGTCTGTGAGCACTTGCCCTTACCTGTGTATACCCATCACACCAATCCTCCCCTTTATCCTCATTTCTCAGTTCATACTCTAGAACTGAGAAAATTATATAATATCATGCATATTTTTTTGAGGTATGGGGGATTGAACCCAGGACTTTTTTCATGCTAAGCATATGCTCTACCGCTGAACTACACCTCCATACATACTCTAGAAGAGAGAATCTATCCTAAGAGTCAGATGTGTGTGACCAGCGCTTCATTGGCAGTAATTAGCTCTTTTGATTCATTTTGATCATCGGGGTGTTAAATGCCTCAAAACAATTAATTTTGAAATATTTGTGACCTAAAAGCATGAAGCTATTTTGAAAGATACAGAAATTGTAAATTGGGATAAACTCATACACTGGAATAAATTGAATCATGATAATTGGTGCAGAATTCCTCAGTGAAGAGTTCTATACAATACACTTTAAAAGAGATTTTCATTATGACTGTTACTTCCGCAGGGAAGGGAAATGAGTTTCACAAAAACAAAATTGAAAAAAGGATGATCAACTGGGGGTGTAGCTCATATGCATGAAGCCCTGAGTTCAATCCTACCACAAAAAAAGAAAAAAGCAACAACAACAAAAAAACCAACTCAACAACCAACAAAAATGGATGGCAAAGCCCTTCAGTTTTTATAGAAGATCTGTAGATCTGTATTACACTTGAGCTTTTAAAGGAAAAATGGGCAAGTTTAGAAATTGAAGAGTGAGGTGTGATTCCTAGTTCTGGTGTTTATTAGCTTTGTGATTTAACAAATCATATTAATCTCACGAAGTCTCATTTCTTTTTTATAAAGTATAACTTCAACACTCATCTTGTCATGTGACAAGGACTGAGAGATCACTTATCCTAGTTAGACCAGCAGGCCCAAGCACACAGATGTTTCTAATGTAGACAAAAATTTGACATGTTGATGGTGTGTTTTTAATTTAAAAACTCATTTATAATTGGAAGCCATTTCTCTGATGAACTTATTTTTTTTTAAATAGAATGTCTGCTCAGAGACAAATGTAACTAATGAACGAATTTCTCTTTCATAGTATGCCTGGTTCAAGAGAAGTTCAGATACACCAGGACTCGGATCAGGTCTCAGGATTCAATGGAAATTCAATTCATTCTGAAGGTAATACTTTATTCTAATTGGTGTTACTTTAAAATGGAAACAGATACAAGAGTTTCATGTGCTATTTTTAAAAAGCACACAATGGCAAAGGCATGGTTTCTTTCTTTGCTGATGTCAGTGATAAGCTTGATAATGCAACTTGCTTGAAAAGTAGTGAAAAGCCAACAGTTTGTATTTTAAGACTTTCTTATTAATGGTCAACCAATAAACACTGAAGACTATTTTATTTGGTCAGGTTATGCTTTTTAAACTAATCAGAGCCACCTTATCACAGGATAAGTGGTAACAATGGTGAGTCACAGAGTCAGGCAGAAGTTCTGTTTCCTTCACTTTCTAGATGGATGACTTTGGATAAGTTATTATGAAAACATCTGAGTCACAATTTATCGTTTATAAAACAAGCTTAATAATACCTTTCTCACAGGACTATTTGAAGGAGTACACAGAAGAATATCAAGTGCAAAATCAGAGTTCATAAAATGTGGTAGAAACTTGATTAGTATTTTTTTTTCTTTTTCCAATGTGACATATCTGCGTAGCATGATAAAAGGGTCTTAAAAACTCCTAAGTAGGGGGCTGGGGATATAGCTCAGTTGGTAGAGTGCTTGCCTCACATGCACAAAGCCCTGGGATCAATCCTCAGCACCAACACCCCCCCAAAAAACACTCCCCAAAACAACTCCTGAATAACCAGGGGCCATCTATTATCAAGGCAGCTAGGGAATTTATCTCTAAATAAAAAGAATCTTTCTGTGGTCACAGTGAGCAAAAACAGGTTTGTAAGAACTTCATATATGTGTCTTAGTTTGGAGAAGAGATGACTCCAAAGAAAGGTCTAAGGAGCTCTCAGAGAAACGGAAGAACTGGACCCAGGACGAGCAGGGTTCTTGGCACATGGGAGGGAAAAGAATTGTAGCATGTGCCAGTCAGAGGCACAGACAGAGGTTTATTTAGAAAAACAGAGGCACATTGAAGGGAGAATGTGAGAGTGAGAAGCCTTTGGGGTAAAGCGAGGGATGCCCATTCAAGGGAGAGTGTGGGCCATCTCCAGATGAAGACCCGGCAACCCCTTGGTGTGGGGGGGGATGTTGATATTTATAGAGGGTTGGTTGCTAGGGACTGGACTAGAGGTGAAGTCAGCGCGAACTTAAGCCATTGCCACCAGTTTTCCCTGCCCTTGCACTCGTATGTTAGTTTTTGTTTTGGTGCTGGGGATTGAGCCCAGAAGTGCTTTCCCACTGAGCCACATCCCCAGCCCTTTTATTTATTTATTTATTTATTTTCAGTTTTTATCCTAATTATTTTCATTTTTTTATTACAATTTTATTCTTATTAAGTTGCTTAGGTCTTTGCTAAGTTGCTAAGGTTGACCTTGAATTTGCAATCCTCCTCCTGCCTCAGCCTCCTGAGCACTGGAATTACGGGCATGCTACCACACCTGGGCCTCATATTAGTTTTTGTAGACAAGGACATGGTGGGTGGGAGGAGGGCGTGGACTGAGTGGCTCAAGAGTTCCAAATGTTCATGGGCGTTTCCTCATGTCAATGGTTTGGGGGTGCTTCTTTGAGACTCAGTGTATCTCTCCCTTTTTTTTGTATCCCCAAATTTCTATTTCATTAGCACCTGCTCCAACACAAAATTGCAACAAATTCAGTTTAAATATCTTCATTGATTTGATTTGTGATTCTAGAATCATGCACTACTTTATTCCAAAAAACAGAATGAGTGATTCAAAGGGGTGAGCAGAAGAGGTTAACAGAAGGGCCAAAGGAAGCAGCAACAAGAAGAGAGAACAGGGAATCTATTCATTTCAAAGTTAGTTTCTCAGGGACAAGGAGACAGAAAAATAGTATCTACTTGGTTCATATCAGGTTACTTCAGGTTAAAGACCCAACTGAACTGTCTGTTTAGGAAATTTGGTTGTTATCTCTCCTGATTTCTCAGAAGATCAGATAACTTCCTTTCTGCTTGATGATGTGGAACTTTTAGCCTGGGTGACAACATTTTGGTTTGATCTATTGAGACTAATGCAGGAGCCCAATTCAAGTCAGCAATCTCCTATAAATTGTATTAAAGACACCTCACCTAACTGGTTTTAATAACTTTTTCATAGAAATTTGATAAGGCACCTTCTAAGCATTTTGACAAAAATCAAAGCTGACTCTATGTTACAGATGAAGTTGAATATGAAAACCAGAAAAGACTGGAAGAAGAGGAGGACTTGAATGTGCTTACATTTGAAGATCTTCTTTGCTTTGCGTATCAAGTTGCCAAAGGAATGGAATTCCTAGAATTTAAGTCGGTAAGCACCTTAAAAAAAAAAACTAACAAAAAATATAAAAAGATAACTATGAAAAAAGACGTGCTAGGGCTGGAGTTGTAGCTCAGTGATAGAGCACTTGCCTCGCAAGTGTGAGGCACTGGGTTCAATCCACATAAAGACAAATAAAGGCATTGAATCCATATACAACTAAAAAAAATTTAGAAAAAAAAAGACATGCTTATATAAAACTATGAAAAAGAGATGTGCCTGTATTTTTTCTTGTTTATCATAACATGTCTCCCTTGATGCCTGTTTTTTCCCCTCTTTACTGTTGAAGTTAATCAAGAACATTACTTCACTCTTTGCTAATGAATCATAAAGGTCTGGGATTCCTTATTGCAAAATGGCTAGCATAACCTTCCTAGGCTCCCAGCGTCCTCTGGAACTTACAGGGAACAAGGTCAAGATAGGAAGTCCTTGCTGTCTGTGGTGGCCCACACCTGTATCCCAGTGACTCAGGATGGTAACTTCAAGGCCAGCCTGAGCAACTTAGTGAGACCCTGTTTCAAAATTAAAAAAATAAAAATGGCTGAGGATGTAGCTCAATGGTAAAACACACCTGGGTTCAATCCCAGTACCAAAAAAAAAAAAAAAAAAGGAAGAGTTTGGAAATCCCATTCACAAGGAAGTGTTGCATCAATCCTGTGCATAGCATTTGCTCCAGGGGGTGAATGGAGGTCAAAACTCAGCATGACCACTACCCTGGACATCTGTCTAACTTGCACTAACAGCCTGTGTTCTAGCGGCAGCTCTGTAGGCCCACAGTCTCTTTGATTGCTAATCCCAGATCCATTAGGGCTGTGATTGCAAGGGTATGGAGACTGCCTCAGACCATTGTCTTGCCCCTGATTTTGCATTCTGTCATTGCCTTTTAGCACTGCTGTTCGCTGCCATTTGACAGGACTCATGCCTATCAGCAGATAAAAGCATCCTCTAGTCACTTCCTTTCATTATTTTCTTCCCTTTGTAGAGGCAAAAGGAATACCTCCCGCCACCTGAGTTTCAAGAATGCTGGAATAAATGGATAATAGACAACTAACCGGAGAAAAGGCATATACATTTATTTACATGCATATGTGTATGGAAGCCACGTAAAATTTTCATGAAGCTCAAGGAAGGGCCAGATGGTTGAAGCTTAATTCGCTTCATAGAGGAGAGAGATGTGGGGAGGTATTTTAGAGGGGTGGTTAATGATTTTAGGGGGGATGAATGGGCCTGAAGAACAGACAGTGGAGCTGGGGGTGTTCAGTGGTAGAACGCTTGTCTGGCATGTGTGAGACCCTGGATTCAATCCCCAGCACTACATACACACACACAATTAAAAAAAAAAAAAAAAAAAAAAGAACAATGATCTGGGGACAAAGTTCCTTTAGGTAGTTAAGGGAACCGCAGAGAAAAGCCTCATCCAACATCTGCTGGACCCCCAAGAGCCTAGTGAAGAATAACCAGCATACCAGGGCCCCGTACTTAGACGTGACATTCCCTGGGCTCCTTCACCTTTCATTACCTTCTTTCTCTTTATTTCCAAACTTTTTCCTGCTCTACTTTCTTTAGATGTCTTATTCTCTTCCTCTCCTTCTCTACTTCCTTCCCTTTACCTCTTTTCTCCTTTTTCCTCCCTGAATTTGGAAAGATGGATTTCAACGTTGTTGTTTGCCTTTAAAAGACTACTGTCTTGGAACAGGGTACGGTGTCCCATACCCATAGTCCCAGGTATTCAGGAGGCTTAGGTGGGAGAATCACCAGTTCCAGCCCAGCCTAGACCACTTAGTGAGACCCTGTCTCAAAAATAAAGGAAAAACCCTGCTGTCTCAATGAAATATGCCCAGCTCTCCCATCCATCCAAGGCACGGCCTTCCCTTCTTCATCTTCTTACCTGCTGTTCTGATTTCCCTTCCTCAGGCTTCTTGCCCTCCTTACTCTTTGTCATAGTTCGCCTACACGTGGACAGTGGTGCTTTCACGAGTGTCTATAGATGTTGGAGAGCATCTACCTGATTGCATGGCTGTTTGCTGCCAGATGTCAAGTAGAAGTTCCCCACCTGTGATAGCTCCTTTATGTTTTTTCAACCTGAGGAAGGTGTAAAGGCCATATACATTCAATAGAAACCATATTTAGAATTTGAATTTGGGTTTTTCCCTGGGCTAGTGGTATGTGGTCTGATCCTCCTCATGACCCTGGGCAGCAGTGTCGGCTGCACCTCACAGTCACCCTGTGATCAGGAGAGGAAACCACCTAGAGGGCATAGTTACTAAGCCAGGCTGCTCGGTGGGATAGGTGTACTCACTGCAGTCTTTGCCAACTTATAATGGGTCTCTTGGGATGCAGCCACATCATAAGCTAAGAAGCATCTATTCCTAAACTACTCACAATTGGCAATCAAGGGCGCTGCTTCCCCTGCCCCACTGGGCTTGTACTAATATGAGTTTTGAAGAATATCCAGTCTTTTAGACCCTTTCCCCTTTTGTCTCCTCTGCAGGCCTTCTCCTCTGAATCATGCACGTCGCTCTTGCCTGCTTGCCCTCCCTCTTGTTGCTTCTCTGATTGTCCCGCAGTCTCCTCCATAGGCTCCTTGATGTCCTCACACATTTGTTGAGCGCTGGCTATGTACCTACACTGTGCTAGGGGGAGAGAGAGCATGATATGACTCCTGGGCTCAAAGATGTTATGCTTGATAGGAGAGAAAGAGATAAGCAGACATGCAAATCAGAGACGACAGTGTGCTGTGATCGAAGTAAGTTCTGGGAATCCCAGGGAGAGACTTGCACATGAGGCCTAGCCAGGGACAGACAGAATAGAAAAGGCTTTTCTTTCTATTTTTTTTTTAATGCTAGGAATTGAACTCAGGGGCATTTAACCACGGAGCCTCACCCTTTTTATTTTTTATTTTAAGACAGACTGTTACTAAGTTGTTTAGGGCCTAGATAAGTTTCTGAGTCTGGCCTTGAACTTGGCAATCCTCTTGCCTCAGCCTCCTGGTTGCTGGGATTACAGGCATGCGCCACCATGCCTAAACTAGAAAAGGCTTTTTGAAGGAGTTCATCCTTGGGCTGGGGGAAATTTTTGAAGAAGGAAAACCAGCAGGGAACATGGAATAGGGTAGGGATTGTGGAATCAGGAGAGGATTTTTGGATAAAGATAATAACTTAGATATATTCAGTGTGAGCGACTGAGTAGATCTTAGTGTAGTAGATACCTGAGCACAAGAGAAGTGCTCAGGTTGTAAATAGAGATTTGGGTGATGGTAGTTGCATCCCTAGGATTGGATGAGATGGTTTGGTGGAGGATGAGGAAGGAGAGGATGCAGCTCTAGGAAATGAGAAGGGGCTTGTGAACAGAGCGCTGGAGGAGGAAAACAGGCGTCACCTACAGAAGTCACAGAAGGAAGGACCTGATGGAGGAGAGCTGGCCAACAGTAACAAATACCAAAGAGAGGTCAAATCAAATAGAGACAGGAGGGGAGCCACACTGGCCAGTGTGGGCCTTAGGCAAAGCAGTGAGAGGGGGAAGGCAGGCCACAGGGCCTAATGGTAAGATGGGTAAAATGCAAGTAGATAATTGGCACTCAAAAAATTGAATTTGGAGTTGGGCATGGTGGTGCACTCCTATATTCCCAGCTACCTGGAGGCTGAGGCAGGAGGATGGCAAGTTCAAGGCCAGTCTGGGCAACTTCGTGAGATTCTGTCTCAAAATAAAATTTCACAAAAGGGCTAGGAGATATAGCTCGGAGGCAGAACACTCCTGGGTTCAGTCCCCAGTACACCACGAAAATAGGGGGGTTCAGAGGGAGAGCTAGAGGGATTGTGACACAGACATTTTAGACTTCTTTAAAATTCTTAGTTGTTGATGGACATTTATTTTATTCATTTATTTATATGTGGTGTGAGAATTGAACCCAGTGCCTCACACATGCTAGGCAAGCACTCTACCAATGAGCTACAACCCAGCCCTGCATTTTAGTTTTTATGGATTTTGCTTTTATTTTTTAAAGAGTAAAGAGAGCACATTGGACACTTATAACTAGTGCCCTGTTCCTTTGAAAATCTTTCTTCAAAGAGTTAATTTTCCTGCCATACTATTGGACTAATGTCATGATTCTTCTCAGCTCAGAAACTCTGAATTCTGCCTTAGTAAACCTCCCCAAAGTCATTTTTAGTTTAGTTTTGTTTTTTTTCTGAATAGTTTCTTTGCTATTACTCCTTTTTATTCCTAAAGCCATTTCCCAGCCAGAAACGAGATGATTGTCTTCACACACACCCAAGGAGCGCAGAAGACAATATGAAAATCCCCTTAGTGGCTCAGCAGAGGCCCCTGTTGTCACATGTCTTTCTTAGAAAGCAAGATGGAACACCCAGTTCAATTCGATTTTCTTTTTAAGAACCACTGTCCTTTGGCCTCTGGGAAACGCTCTATAAGCAGCACAACTGACGGCAACCACAAGAGCTGAAGAACTGGGCTGCTGTGTTTGCCTGATTTGTTACACACCATGACAACCGCTCCTGGCCCAGTCAAGATGGGAGACCTTCTGTCATCTGTAACTCCTGTTGAACTTGATTGCACTTTCTGTGATAGTATCCATTATGGCAAGTAACACTGTGATCCCATTCTTCCTAGTGTGTTCACCGCGACCTGGCAGCCAGGAACGTGCTCGTCACCCATGGGAAGGTGGTGAAGATTTGTGATTTTGGATTGGCTCGAGATATCCTGAGCGATTCCAACTACGTCGTCAGGGGCAATGTGAGGCTGCTACTTCTTCCATGTTTTTATTCTGCTGTTTTTGTGTTTTTTTCATTATTACGGTAAACATCTGTACTCAGTAATGCAATTTTGATTTACAGTAACACATGCACACGAAAACTCTTAGAGCAGTTTGCTTACTTATGCTTAAAAGATTTTTCTACAGCTTCAGGGAATTTTCCATCTATAATAAAAATGGAGCAAAATAGCCACACATCTATCCTTGGGCTAGCTAGTCAGAATAGATCCATTAGGGGCTTCTGAGTGCAGTCTGCACTTAAAAAAAAAAAAATCTCATTACTTGCACTTATTTCAGTTTCTTTAGCTATAAAGAGACTGTTGGATTATATTTCCAATTTTGAGAAAAGCTAATAGTTACAATAGTTTTCAAAATGTACAACATATGAATGTTAAATATAAATCTTAAGGGCACGATAATTAAATTAAATATTAATTGATGAAGATCTGTTACCCTATTACTGTTAAAACAGGGAGACATAAAATATACCTGGGTCTGCTTTTAAATACAAGATAAATACTCGGTGATTAATTTTGTAGTTGAAAGAGTGGTTTTTAAGAATTACAACACCTGGGTTGGTATTGTGGTTCAGTGGCAGAGCACTTGCCTTGCCCGTATGAGGCACTGGGTTTGATCTTCAGCACCACATAAAAACAAATAAATAAAATAAAGATACTGTGTCCATCTACAACTAAAAAAAATTAAAAATAAAAGAATTACGACACCTTTGCTTAAGTCCCTATTCCTCTTCTTTTTGGTTATTCATTTTGGGGATTGCTCTCTCCATCTTTGTCCCTACTTGTGAAATAATAATAGCAGCAAAAGCTGGACTAGTCCTTACTATGTGCCAAGTACTCTTGTGGGCACTTTACATATATGAATTTATCCACTTTGTGGATGAGGAAACTGAGATACAGAAAAGTAACATGTAATGGTTACACAGTACATGGATTTGAACACAAAGAGTCTAAACACCAAGTCTCTGCCTTACCACTATGATACCACGTTTCCCAAAAGGGTTCCATTTACTTGGTAGGGCTGTGGGAATAAACCAATAAAACCAACATAAAAGCACCTTATTTAGGATAAACAGCCAATAAATGTGTAAGATCAAATTAAACTGCATTCCTACTAGGATCTAATGTAATCACCTTAGTTGATTTAAAATTTGTTCCTCAGTTATTACAGCTGAAATCATAAATATGCTGACCACTCCTCTAGGGTGATGCAGCTTCTGTTCTACCAGCCAGCTGTCTCTTATGTGGGAAGGTGGATTCCATTTAGAACCACAATTAATTCTTTTAATGAATTAAATGAACCAGACTAGCCCCCTTGATTTGTTCAGCTCCTCCATTGTGTATAGGACTTAAAACAGGGTTTTTTTTTTTTCTTGGGCTTTGATTTTACTTGGCAGACTAAACATGTGCTGGGATGCGTTCCTGGATCCATGAAAAACAAAAATCAGTACAAAAGGCTCCGTCTCAGGAACCTAACCATCCCGTGTCCTGAGTCAAACCTGAGGTGGTACTAAGTCAAAACCCCCCTTTCATGCTACTGGAAATTATTAAAACCACAAAAACCAGTCTGGTATCATTTCTGGAAGTGATGACATAAGTTCCCCTCACCACATTCTTGGGGACAGCATTTCTACTAATGTTCTTCTGAGAAGTGCTTTAACAAGATTATACTAACGCACTTTGAGCCCACTTCCCTGCGGGCAACTGACTAGCCCTTCCTTAATGGAAAGCGTCTGACTACTGTTACATTTACCCCTTGGAAGCACCAGCTTTTGTTCAAGATGAGTTTTAAGGATTATATTTATATAGCCAGACACACACACACACACACGGCTACTATTATTAGAAAGTTAACTTGAAAGTGAAAAACTTTCACATGAGGAATGTGATTTTCTCAAATATGAAGAGAAGCATGGCATAGAGGCACATGCTTGTAATCCCAGGGACTCAAGAGGCTGAGACAGGGGGATTGCAAGTTTGAGGCCAGCTTGGGCAAGTTGGCAAGATCCTGTCTCCAAATAAAAACATGAAAAGAGCTGGGGATGTAGCCCAGTGGTAAGTACCACTGGGTTCAATTCCCCAATATTAAAAAAAAAAAAGAAACAAACAAACAAATAAAAGAAGGGCCTCAGGGGAATAATACATTTCATCATCTACTGAAACAAAAGAAGCCAGGGGACTGTACGTGGGAAATTCACCACGGGATCTCCTCTTGGGTTTTAGGCCCGTCTGCCTGTAAAGTGGATGGCTCCTGAAAGCTTGTTTGAAGGGATCTACACAATTAAGAGTGATGTCTGGTCGTACGGAATATTACTCTGGGAAATATTCTCACTTGGTATGTTTGGCACTTTACTCGTGTCCCTGGGCTCTGGGTCTTTTGCATCTTGCTCTCTCTGCACCCCTCCCCACCCTTGCACCCCCTAAACCAGAGGGTACATAAAATGCCACCTGGGCTTCTCCCATAGCTCCTGGTCTTGCTTCTTTTGCAACATATGCCACTTGATGTGTAACTTGCTGATGTCCCTAAGCCGTCTTCCTCACTGGTCTGTAACCTGCTTGGGAAGTCTGTGACTGTCCAGTTGTAGCCCTCGCTGCAGGCTGTCCCTGGCACATGGGAGTTCTTGATACATGTCTGCCACGAATGGATCAACAACCGAAGAAATGGATGAATGGCTACACTGCTTTCCTCTTTTTCTCAGGTGTGAATCCTTACCCTGGCATTCCGGTTGATGCTAACTTCTATAAACTCATTCAGAGTGGATTTAAAATGGACCAGCCATTTTATGCTACAGAAGAAATGTAAGTTCAAATTGGACAGTAGTAGATTGGTTGAAATTAGAAATTTATGATCTGTCCACTTCCGAATGCATGACACACACGGAAAATGGTAAAAACTCCTTAATGGTCAAAACTCCTTAAAATCTTCCTGTTTGGGGGACTACTAACCTGTCCTTGCCTGTCCTCAGAGGCTTCTGGATCTTAATTACTTTGCTTGAGTGATCTGTGAGGATGAGACTCCATCTCCTTCATTATATGTCATTAAGTGCATTTCTGTTCATCTTCTAATTTCTCCTTTCTGATATGAGTACAAAATCTAGTGGAGTATTTGCCATAAAATAAACATGCCATAAACACATAGCTGTATCTAAATGTGCTTCGTGATATAGAAAACAGTTCATTTTACTTCATTTGTGTCTCTTCATCTTGGTCCTTGTTCTCTTGATTTTCCAGATACTTTATAATGCAATCCTGCTGGGCTTTTGACTCGAGGAAGCGGCCGTCCTTCCCTAACCTGACTTCATTTTTAGGATGTCAGCTGGCAGATGCAGAAGAAGCGGTAGGTAACAGCCAGAACTTGATATTACTATAAAGGAAATTGGTAATTGACAACATTCCTTGTTGGACCAAATGGACCAAGTTGTCTGTCTCTCCTCAGTTCATCTAGGTTGCCCCTTGAAAGTTGTGTAGGTTGAGACATATTTATTGAGAGGTGTTTCTAGAAAAAAAAAAAGACCTTTTCTCAAGATTTCAGTCAATTGATTCAATAAAGTAAAATTCAGCACAGAGGATTGGACAACTAAATAAAACTGAATTCCTCCCCAACCCACTAGTCTTCCCTAATTCAACATGAAGCTTTAGTACAGACTAATCACATGGGCCAATCATATGACATGGTAGAAAGGAAAGAGCATTGGACTGGGGTCATGAAAGTTAAATACCAGCTCAGGGGCTGGGGATATAGCTCAGTGGAGTGCTTGCCTTGCATGCACAAGGCCCTGGGTTCAATCCCCAGCACCACACACATACACACAAATAATAATCAAATAAAAAAAAACAGCTCATAATATTGTGCCCTTTATGATAACTCACTTTACTTCTCCTGGCCTCAGTGTTTCCATCTGCAAAATGGGTTGCCAAGCTAGACGATCTGTGAGCTTTGGGAACTTGGGATTGCTTTGCTAATTCTTTCCCCAGTCATACCACCTTGTATAGCAAAGACAGTTATCCTTGGATGAAGTGAGCAAAAGATGAACCTTGAACTCCCACTGCCTATGATCGCATCATTTACTTCTCCTATGACTTGTCTTCAGTCAGTCTTTTTAGGGGGTCAGTCCCATTTCTTCATCTGAAATATGAAATTAAAAATATTACTTCATGGAGTTGTAAAAAGGAGTAAATAAGATGATGTATGTGAAGACTTTGCATATAGTGGGAAATTGGTATTTACTCACAAAATGTTATTTAAACAGAAATATGATGTGTGTTGGGCGCCTGGGAATAGAGTCAAGGACCTTGAGCATGGTAGGCAATTACTGAGCCACCTCCCCCCAGCCCTCCAGCCCCATAAACCCAATTCTTTAAGTGGATTCTCTGTCCTTTTTTCTAAATCGCTGAGTCCATTTTCAATGCTTGTTCTTTCTATAGACGTGTTTAGATAATGTGTGTCCTTCATTCCTGTGATTTTCTTAACAATCACATATAGAAACTAAGTTATTGTCAGAGAATTAAGTCAAAAGGTTGGGAGATGGAAAACCCCCAAGGTACTTACAGGCTGTTGGGCAGATGACCTATAAATAGATAATGTATAGGAAAAACTGAAAGAGGAGCTCTAGAAAGACACAAAATATGAGCTGGTGGAGTAAAGAGAAAGGATTGACCAATGTTTACTGTTAGTTGGGTATGAATTCATGGGGGGATCTGAATGAGGTGTGAAGAATGAAGAGCATTTTGTCTTTGGTAGAATGGAGGATGGATAGAATATTCCAGGCTCAATGGACAAAAGAAATCAAGATTCAAAGTTGAGAAAGTAGAGTGAAAACCAAATGGCTGTGGCTGACCTGCAGGGTGGGTGGGGCATAGGGAAGAAAGCAAGACTATAAAGATGGCCCAACTAGGCCAGAGTCCACCCCTGCTGAAGAACCGCTTGGCTTGTTCAGGACCACCTGAGGCTCTCCTTTCATGCCCCCACGCCCAAAAGATGTTCAAATCCCCTTTCCTCTATTCAGGAAGCTCAGGAGGCTTCAGTACCTGTTGGACGGCAACTTCTTGGATGATCCAGTCCTGAGTGAATTCATGTTCAAAGACACACGGTTACCAGCTTTTCCTCCCAATTCCTTCCTCTCTGCCCCCCGACCCTCCCAGATGAAAGGTTCTTTTCCCTACCAGCCTAGGAGCCATGGGTGATCCACAGGAAAAAGACAAAGCAAAAAATAGTAGCTCCTCAAGCAAGGTGGAAAATGGTGCCATCTCTGAGTGGGATGAATCCAAAGAGGAGCCCTGACTCAGGGCTCAGGCAGCGTGTTCCATTCTGACACAGTCTAAAGGAATGAAGTGCAGATTAGGTTTCAGCCCCCACCTGCCCCCTCTGCTGGGCACTTTTGTGCAAAGCATAATCCACACAAGCGTACCAGGAAGCTGGGCCCACTAGGAGCTTTTCTGCTGCCATTGTGGCTCCATTTCTTAAACACAATCCTGTCTTATCTCTGGGGTGGGAAAACCAGCATGGTCAGCAAGGCCAGGGTAATTTTCCCTGGACATACATGAGTGATTGTGTAAAATCTGCATCTTCAAGGACTAGGGAAGGAAAATGGCTCTCAGAGAACTAGGGACAAGGGGTGGAAAATACATAGAGAAAGCATCACTGTTAGATCTAACCTCAAAACCAGCAGGGTCAGATCAGGGAATGGTTGATGAGCGTGCTCGGGCATTAGTTAGAGAATGGTGAACCGGTGACCATTTTTAGGATAGGGCTGGGATGTAGCTCAGCGGTAGAGTGTGCGCTTAGCATGTGTAAGGCCTGGGGTTCAATCCCCAGCACCAAAAAAAGAAAAAGAAAAAAAAATTCTAGGATGGACAAACAAGCTTTAATCTTCAAGACCCAGGTCAAATAATCTTTCCTCTGGCAAAGCTTCCTTCAGCTTCCCATGTCTGGTTTTAGGCTCCTTCAGAATTTCCAGGACACTTTCTATATGTAACTCTGTGTGAGACTCAACTCATATTGTATGCTGATTTTGTTCTGTGGGTCTGTCTTTCTCACCCCGGGGCTAGATTGTAAAGGCAAGGATGATGTCCCTCCCATCTCCGGGACGTGATGTAATGCTTGCCGCCTGTCGATTAAGTCAATGAGTGAATGTCAGCATGAGAGTGGGTTAGAGGCCACGTCTGTTTTGTTCATTGTTCTAATCCCAGATGCTGGCACTTGTGGAAGAAAGGGAGGTGGGGGGAGAAGGAGGAAAGTGTAACTGCAAGTTTGGAAAAGCCAGGCAAAAAATCAAATGTAAGGACCTTAATCAAGGGGTGACTGAGATAGGGCTGAGCAACAATGAGGGGATGGACCTGGGCAGCGGCAGTGTGGGGTGATGGAAGGAGGGGACTGAACTCTAGTTTCCCCTATTTCCCCACGTTTTGTTTGCTTTGAGATGGGGTCTTGGGGTCTTGCTGTGTTGCCCAGGCTGGTCTCTAACTCCTGGAATCAAGGGATCCTCCTGCCTCAGCCTCCAAGTAGCTGGAACTATGGGCACATGCTACTATGCTCTGCTTCACATTTATTTTAAATTTATATTTTTAGCAGATACATGAAAATGTAAAAACTGTACATATTAGTGGGATACCACATAATGCTTTGATAAGATTTGAATCAGGTTAAAAACATTTACTTCCTCATCATTTTCCTTCTTATGCCTGCCCCCCAGATTATAGGAAATCGATATAGCTGTGTGTCACTTAACAACGGGGTTAGGAGATTTTGTAGTTGGGTGAACATCACGGAGGGCACTTACATGAACATGGATGGAAGAGCCTACCATACATCAGGCTGTGCGGTATACAGAGTCACAGGTGCAGTCCATCATTGGACAAAATGTCACCAAGAAGCATATAGCTGTGTGTGTGTGTGTGTGTTTATGAAAAGTAGTGAGGTAACAAATGCCTTTGAAAGCAAGAAAGAAATCTCACTGTGGACCAGAAATTGGACAGTCCCTGAGCCAATGAAACCATCTAAGATTGGGTGGAGAGGGGAGACCCACAATGAAGGATGCTCAAGAAAAACTAGGAAAAGTGCTAACACTCAGCAGGACGAGGTTGCATGGTATTCTGCAGAGGTTCCAAGCAGAAGCAGGTTCATTATCAAGCAAGTGTCAGATGAAATATGGATGTTAAAAGTGTAAGAATAGGGCTGGGCATGAGCACATGTTTAGTGTGCACAGGTCCTGGGTTCAGTTCCTGGCACACGCGCGCGCGCACACACACACACACACAGTAAGAATTATCACTGCAAGATAGAAATATAATACACAACTTTTGATTCAGTATAAGAAAAAGGAAAAAGACCATAGAAAGCATCATCAACCATTAAAACAAAGAAGAAAGAAACAAAAAAAAAGAATTCTTGGAAATAGCACAAAATGGCAAGAATTAATAAACCTTCTAACTAAAGAGAATTTCAGAGTAAATAAAATTGTTATCATACAGGCCAAATTTACTAACCTGAAGGCAATGAAATGAAAAATCACTAAGAGCCACCAAAAAACTTCCCAAGGGCTAGGGTTGTGGCTCAGTGGTAGAACACTTGCCCAGCAAGTGTGAGGCCCTGGTTTCCATCAACTGCCAAAAATATACCTGTACTCCCAGATTCATGTACCAAAATGAGAAATCATACTTCTTAACAAAGTTATTTGTTAAAATGAAGGAGAACGGAGGAGAATAAACAAAAAAGAACAGTGCCAGTCTAGAACCTGGGGAACTTACCCAGATTCATAATCATAAAATCATCTACTAGAAAACAAAATGACCAAACTTTCAATTCAAGATTTCATCTGACTCCAGTCAGAATGGCAATTATCAAGAATACAAGCAACAATAAATATTGGTAAGGATGTGGGAGAAAAGGTACAGTCCTACATTGCTGGTGGCACTGCAAATTGGTGCAACCATTATGGAAATCGATATGGAAATTCCTCAGAAAACTTAGAATGGAATCATCACTTGACCCAGCTATCCCATTCCTCAGTTTATACCCAAAGGACATAAAATCAGCATATTACATTGACACAGCCACATCAATGTTTATAGCAGCTCAACTTAAAATAGCTAAACTGTGGAACCAACCCAGGTGTCCTTCACAGATGAATAGATAAGGAAAATGTGGTATAATACACAATGGAATATTACTCAGCATTAAAGACGAATGAAATTATGGCATTTGCTGGTAAAATGGATGGAGCTGGAGAATATCATGCTAAGCAAAATAAGCCAATCCTGAAAAACCAAAGGTTGGATGTTTTCTCTGATATGCGAATGCTAATTCACAATAAGGAGACCGTGGCTAGGGAAGAATAG